TTTCCCAAAAGGTTAATGGTATATAACAGTAAAAATAAAAATTTTAGTGGGATTATTGCCTCCACTGATTCGAATGTGCCTTCGTCCTTGCTCACGTGTATTATTGCAGCACGGACGTAAGAAACTTTTTTTTTAAAATTTTTTAATGGGATTTGAGATTGAGAAATTTTTTTTTTTTTTTTTCTAAAATAAGAAAAATAACGCTTCAAAGTCTGCAAGACAGATCAATGGCACCGACTACAGCACTCTTTTCGATATGTTTAGTTTCACGTGATAATGTTCTACTCACGTGCAAGGACGGATCTAGAAGTTATGAGAGGGGAGCAAAAATGAATTTAGTTTAATTTTTTTGTAATTTTAGGGAAGGTAAAGTGAAAGTTACGAGGGGAGTAAAAATGAATTTAGTCTAATTTTTTTTGTAATTTTAGGGAAGGTAAAGTGAAAGTTATGAGAGGGGAACAAAAATGAATTTAGTGTAATTTTTTTGTACTCTTAGGGAAGGTAAAGTGAAAGTTATGAGAAGGGAGCAAAAATGAATTTAGTGTAATTTTTTTTGTAATTTTAGAGAAGGTAAAGTGAAAATTTTATAGGTATATAATCAAAAATAAAAAAACTTAGTGGTATATAAAGTAAAAAAGGAATTCAGTGAGGGCAACTGCCTCCACTAACTCTGACTCTAATGTGCCTTCATCTCTGCTCACGTGTATAACATGGATAATCCAAATATTGCATCGTCTAATGGATATAAGGAAGGTTTTTTTTTTAAAATTTTCTAATCGAATTTGATAAATTTTTTCTTTCGAAAATAAAAGAAATAAGGCTCCAGCTACAGTGAAACAGTACGGTTTGTTTAAAAACACTTTTCGATATGTTTAGTTTCACGTGATAATGTTTAACCTAAAAAAATCAAGTTTTATTTTACCCAACTTTTTTATCCTAAAAAAACTGCTAATAACATAATATGTGATTGCTTATATAAAATATAGAATCCTGATTCAGTTCCTTATTTATTTATTTTTTCCTTGCAAGTAATGGATTCACACTCTCTTTCCACGCATTTTTTTGCTTACACTCAAATTCAACCTAAATTAAACTGATTTTAAAGATTCTAACTGAATGGTAAGATTTGAATTGATTTGACTGTTTGATTAAATTGAATGGGCTGTTCCATATAGATTTAGATGGACAATATTTTTTTTTATCGAAAGTAGGCGATGATTGTGGTAAAAATGGATTACTAACGGCTAGCTCATACAAGATACTAAATTTTTACCGTGCCCAATAACATATACAGCCGGATTGAGGGATAGTCAACGGTTTAAGGCAGAAACTATCGGTGCGAGTGCCTCACTGTAAATGAGTTTATCCAAAGGTAGGCTCCACATGCTACTTGGAACCACCTAAAGACGTAGGGCCCACATATTCTTTGACCACACGAAGGTCCTTCGATTTATGATTAATATAAAAAGGAGAACAATATCGAAATGGTACTCTGGTTCCTTCTCTTTACTGTAATTTTTCAAAATATTTTTTCATGATCCGATTGAAGTTCTCGTGATTGCGTGATAGGAGGATGTTGCGTGATAAACTAATTTTAAAATGAATAATAGTTAGTAGTGAGGATATATAATATCCTTATTGTTAACGTGGATTCATAATAAATAAAAATGTGAGTAGATATTTATTTATTAAATCAGAGATAATAATTTAATTATTATTTATAATTTAGTAATTAAAATATAATGTATACATTTATTATTGGTCCACAACAACAATGTATATGTTGTAAAATAATAAATGGACTTGTGATTTTTATTTACCAAATCGTAGGTAATTCGCTTACCAAATTAGAGATAGTGATTTGATTATCATCTATAATTTACTAATTAAAATATGAGGTATCCATTTATTATTAGTCCACATTAGATGTGAGTATGTTGTAGATTTACATTAGTGAAGATCTGAGTATTGTCGATTTTAAAATAAGTAACATTTTATTTTATTTGAAAAATAATTCTTACACAAATTTGTTGCAGTGAATTGCTAAACTAATTTTAAAATAAGTAATATTTTATTTTATTTGAAAAATAATTCTTGCACTGATTTATTGTAATGAATTGTTAGACCTACTTATTTAAATTGGTCCATTTATACAACAAATAAAGAAGTGAAACCATCCACTTACTTGTATTGTACATATATTACTAATCAGGAACTATCGGTTATATAATTAGTGCAAGGATCACAATTCCTTTTATTTTGTCGACTAATGGTATGTATATATTAAATAGATGAAAAATGATTCTTGCACCAAAAAATTACAGCTACAATAAATAAAGAAGTGGAGTCTTTCACTCAATTGTATTTGGTACAAATAGTCAATTAAAAATTATTTGATTAGGCAATTCACTCTATGTGTTCGGTGTGAATATTACTATTCTAAATGGATAGTAAAAATTAGAATTGTCAAAGGAACAAAGTGAAGATGTGAGTTATGTATATATATATATATATATATATATATATATATATATATAATTGTTTTTTGATAAAAAAAAAAGGAAAATAACATTAATAAACAATATATGGCATGAGAAATCAACTGATCATCAATGCGATATGAATATTAACGGGGCACAACTAAATTATGAATAAAGTATTAAATTACTACTAAGTTGTAGCAATAGTTACAATAGGAAATTTTTTTTTTGCAAATTACTTTTAATAACCATATATATGAGATTTTTTATATTATAAAAAAATAATATAAAAAAAATTACCACAAATAGGGTTTTGAAAAAAAAAAATTATACTTCCCAATCCATATTAATAACATTATAATGATATCATCAACTCGTCAAACTCCTCTAAATCATTTTTTTCATTAAGAAAAGCAAAGAAAAGAAAAGAAAAATGGTATGAATTGAAGGGAGTAATTAAGAGAATGAGAATTAGTAACATTGGGATGGAATATTGAGATAAAAACAATGATTATTATCTATATGTAAACTAAAGTGGTGACAAATTGGATGAGACTTGAGTTTCAAAGGTACAAAGTTGAGACAAGTATGCTTTAGAGGATTGGAGGCTCAGCATATGCGAAGCGTGTGTTGGTGGTCTTTGCCACCCTAACATTACTAACTACACTTTAGAGGCGTGCTTTGATTTCTGATCAAGTGATGCTTAAACCCACGTGAGTCTCTTCTCATCGCCTTCTTTACTCTTCTCTATTCTTTCCATTAAGTTGGTCATTTTGCACACCCTCCCTACTAGTTTTGGTTTTGGTGCGTCATTGAGTTTTCAATGTTTAATACTATTATTTGTTACCCTTAAATCCACTACCAACAATTCCTTTTTCCATTTTAATAGGTCGGGTGTGTTAAATAAAATATTTAATAGGTCGGGTTATCTTTGAGTTAAAAGACAATTAAGACCCTCTAAAGGTAGTGATCATTTTTTAAAACCACAAGTAATTGCCTTTTTTGTTTTTTTAAACGAAAGATAGTGTTACACGACTATTGCCTGGAAATAACTTTTCCTTTTATAAACCACACAAATTTTCCCCCAAAACTTGCCAATCTGATACCTTTCATAAAAGTTCAACACCCTCTCATGGAAAAGTTTATGCTTCTCCACTCCTCCAACTATTAAATCAGGATCCTCTCTACAAATATGTTTGTCTGGTTGCCTAATGTGGTGAAGAAACTACTTTAAACCAACACTGCAATAATTACGTTAATATATTCAATTTTTTTTATTTAATGTGTTATAATTATTGTGAACAATGGTAGACATAAATAAAAAGACAGTAATATCCGCTAATTCAATACATATTATTCTGTAGTCTTTTATGTATTTATGTTTCCTATTTTAAAAAACTGAATTATAAGAATTGTGAAAATGAAAAAACAAATAATTACACTAAGTTTTCTCTCTCCATCTTTAATTTGATTTGCTTTACTAATCTTTTTTCAATACATTTACAAGTATGTATATATACATATATTCTCTTCTGTGTGTTTTTCAACAACTTCATATATCTTTATTGGATATGTCTTTTATAATTTGATTGTAATTAGAAAATACCAAATCAAAATATAATTATAAAAAGTTTTAAGTGACCCAAAATAGATCACACATTCCTGGTAAAAATTTGTAACTTTTAATTTTAATTATTTAAAAATTTAATAGAAAGGGTTTACCAAAAAAATATAAATATGAACAAGACTGTATTTAAGTAATTAAGTTATATTAGGTTTGGATTCTATAATCACAAGTTTTACTATTTTTTTTCTCTTTCTTATATTATAATATCTTCTATGTTAAAAATTACTTTTCAAAGCAAAAATTAGAAGTGACAATATTTGTTTGTCTGGTCGTGTGATGCTGACATATAAGTATTTTGTTAAACAGATCCATTCAAACATGATCCGATATTAAACTAATAACCCGTTGAACCTAAATGGGTCATTTAACTCATATTAATTTAAATATAAAAAAATTAAAAATACAATGAAATTATTGAGATAATAAAAAATAAAATTTTATAATGAGAATAATTTAGACAAAATAATTATAAGAAAAGAGCTAAATATAATATCCATATTAAATTTATATTGAAATAATAAAAATGTCAATAACTAATCAATTAAAATAAGTTATGAGTTAATCGTGTTTACCTAACACAATATTAATTAAATAAATCTAATAAAATTAAATGAATTAAACTCCAAAACACAAAAACCATGATTAATTCAATAAATTAAACGAATTAACTCATTTAAATAAACCCAAACTCAAGTTTGTTTGATTAACCTAAAAGGAGCAATCAAAACAAAGTGAATCCTGAGTGGGCCATGCTGCATCATAAGTACATACACACACACTCGTGCTTTGTCTTTCGTACAATGGTTTAACTGTAATTTAGCCCAAATTGAAGGCATTTTCCATAAGGCAATCACTCCAGATCTCCTCTACTTAGTCTCGCCGGTCTCCACTCATCTGTTGTTCTTGCGAGTCCACTCCACTCTATCTCTCTCTCTCTCTCTATCTCAAAATAAAAGAAAGCTACCAATTGTGAGGAAACCTTCTGTCTTCTCTCCCTAGGGCACAATGCAGCTCCGTCCGGCCGCCGCCGGGACTATAGTCCTCTCTATTATGCTCTTCCTTCTCTCCGGTTCCATCCAGGCGCACAATATTACTCGGATACTCGCCAAGTTTCCAGAATTTTCGACGTTCAATCACTACCTGACGGTGACACACCTCGCCGCCGATATCAACAACCGGGAGACCATAACCGTCTGCGCCGTCGACAACACCGGGATGTCAGATCTGCTCTCCAAACACCTATCTGTCTCCGCCCTCAAAAACGCTCTCTCTTTTCACGTGCTCTTGGACTACTTCGGCGCCAAGAAGCTCCACCAGATTACCAACGGCACCGCCCTAGCCGCCACCATGTTCCAAGCCACCGGCTCGGCTTCCGGCTCATCCGGATTCGTCAACATCACGGATCTCAAAGGAGGTAAAGTCGGCTTCGGAGCAGAAGACAATAAAGGCAAGCTCGACGCCGTTTTCGTCAAGTCGGTTCATGAGATTCCGTACAACATCTCCGTCATCCAGATCAGCAAGATCTTGCCGGCGCCGGAGGCTGAAGCTCCTTCTCCCGGCCCGAGCGCGATGAATCTGACGCTTCTTATGTCGGCTCACGGCTGCAAAGTCTTCGCCGACACTTTGCTAGCTTCCGATGCTGAAAATACGTACAAGGACAATGTCGATGGTGGATTGACGGTGTTTTGTCCCATGGACGATGCTTTCAAGAACTTCTTGCCGAAGTACAAGAACTTGACCGCGGCGGGGAAGCAGGATCTGCTGGAGTATCACGGCGTTCCGGTGTATCAATCTTTGTCGATGTTGAAGTCTAACAACGGTCCCATGAACACTCTGGCCACTGACGGAGCTAAAAAGTACGATTTCACGGTTCAGAACGACGGCGAAGTTGTGACGTTGAAGACGAAGATAGTTACAGCTAAAATAACAGGGACTATAATTGACGAACAGCCATTGGCGATTTTCTCGATCGACAAGGTTTTGATGCCGACGGAACTGTTCAAGGCTGCTCCGACACCAGCTCCGGCACCGGCACCGGAGGCGGCGGCGGACGCTCCGAAGCCGTCGAAGAAAGCGCCAGTCCAGGCGTCGGATTCTCCCGCAGATTCTCCGGCGGATTCTCCGGAAGAAGATCCGGCGGATCAGACGGCTGATGAGAACGGCGCCGTTAGATTCACCTATGGTAGATTTGCTACGGCCTCTCTAAGTTTGTGGTTGGCGTTTTTACTGATGTAAGTTTCTCATTCAGATTTTTTTTTTTTTTTTCGGTGAAATACTTGGCTAATAAGTGAGGCCTTTATTGCTATTAAATTATTTGTATTACTAATTTTCTTCTTTATGTCTGGTTTTCTTCTCTGTGTGGTTTTTATTTTGATTTCATTTTTGTGTTTGAGGAATTTGTAAGGGGTTGTGATTTTGCTTGTCATTGTAATTTGTCAGAACATAATTTTACTCATTATGATTATAGATTTTCATACTCATAATAGTGTACATTACTTCCTAGGTATATTTCAAGACAGCTAATTGAGAAATTTATTTAAAGAATTTATATCAAAAATTGATTAATAAATAAATTTCATGACTCTATTACTATATATATATATATATATATATATATATATGCAATCTTGGGACCAGATTTGGTTGATTAATGGTGATTTGGTGAAATAGATAAATATAGGTGGTGTCACAATTGTGTAGTAAAACCTTAATTTGTAGAAGCCTTAATTGGTAGATTGTACATCTCCCAAATGTTCTAGTTCCCTTCATTTTCCTGCTTTGAGATATTTAGTTTTAGTGAGGGACTTGGATTCTTAAGTTATCATAAGTTGAAGAATTTTCTATAGAATGATGTGTCATTTTGGCTTATGTTAAATCAGTGCAACTAATTTAATAAAAGTTAAGAAACTACACCATTTTAAGATAGGAAAACCTTTAGAATACCTTAACGACGTTAGCTCTCTCTCTCTCTCTCTCCTCTAAGTTAGAACATCTGTACGTTATCATAAGATGAATTATTGTACACTTAATAATGCACCATATCATTTCATCATAAAAAAAAAAATCCTTAACACCTAAAACATTTTGTAGAGCAAATTAAAACGCCGATGACTTCCGTCACCACCCCTCCCGATTGAATCCAATGTATATTATATATACAACCATGTATAATAATAGTGCATAGGATCCAATGTATATTATATATACAACCATGTATAATAATAGTGCATAGGAATTGGGAACTTGAATTCTTATTGTAGATTTCAAATTCCTTTCTCTCATCACTATTCTTTCTTAAATTTTATTTTATTTTTTCAGAAATTTTTGGTCCACAAGTTCTTTAATCTAAAAATTCAATATATTATATTTACGCAAACATGTATAATAGACTAAAATCTTGCTCGAAAAATAGGAACTTGAATTATGAGATTGCTGTGAATTTACAAGCAAGATCAGGCAGTAAGATTGTGACGAGCAAAATCTGATGAATTCAACCAATGAATTTGAGAATTGGAGGCATCTAATAAAGATTAGAGGCCGTTTCTTTCTATTTCTATTACCTTAAAACGACGTCACTTTTATAATTTAAGTTAGGGTAAAGTATAGAGACACCCCTTTAGGTTTGCTAAAAGGACACACAAGTGAAAATTTGCCTATTTTGGACAATCACACCCTCTTACGAAATTTGTTATCCAAACAGAGCTTTAAAACGTGTGAAAAGCCCATTTTACCCTTCACTATTTTAGTAAATTTAATTATAAAATATCAAAATACGTAAATGACCAAATTACCCTCAGCACCCTTCTTTCCTCTCTCCTCCTTCATCTTTCATTTTTTTCTTTTTTATACATACATATATATATATATATATATATATATATATATCCACACACACACAAGGCGGCGACAGGCGACGGCGAGCTGTTGTTCTCGGGTTTGAGGTCACGGTAGAGATGCCCATGGTATGGAGGTGTTTGAGAGCGTAGACAATCTCGGTGGAGGGCGGCGGCAAGTTTGTCGTTTTTTATGGCGAGGCTGACGGCGAAAACAGATTTGGGGCTCTATGGGTAGATGGAATTGAAGGCGGGCCGCGGATCTAGAGTCGGTCAGTCGTTGATGTAGAGGCGGAGGATGACGATGACGCCGAAGGTGGAGGAGAGGCAGCTCGCCATCGTCGTCGCCGCTCGTCGGACGGTAGAGGCGATGGCCACTTCAGCCTCCTCGGCCTTGCAGGTAACGCTCGCTGTGCTCATCTGAACCTTCTAAACCTCGCTTCACTATTCAGTCCGTTGCCGCATTGTCATCGGAGCTTGGCCCTCGCCGGCAATTTCAGTCTCAGAGTTCGTGTCTACCATTTTGTTTTGACCGTCCTTACTCGTTGATTTTATGATAACCATAGTTGAAAAAATTCATACATTCATGCCCATGTTGAATTTGACAAGAGCAATATGCAGTGTAGTTTCTCGTTTAGTTCATCTCGATTGACAGCAGCCTATACCATACATGTGGTTGTTCTTGTCAAATTCAAACACTAAGAGTTTGAATTCGACAAGAACAAACGATCTTCAATTCCTTGATGTATTATACCATGCATACATGTGGTTGCTCTTGTCAAATTCAAACCCTATTCCTCCACCATTTGGTAAATACACGATACTGCTTTCTGTTCAATTGATTGATGTATTATATATATACCATACATGTGGTTGTTCTTGTCAAATTCAAACACCTTTCCTCCAATTTTTTTTTACTTAACTTTAATCCTTTCCGCTGTCAATTCAGAGTGTTTGATTTTATCCCAAATTGGCGCATGCATTGGTTGATTCATCTATATATATACCTACATACATTCTTTTAGCCCATGTTGTTGAATTTGGATTTTGTCAGAGGTGAAAAAATTCATGCCCATGTTGTTGAATTTGGATTTTGTGATGATATTCACGGTTGGGTGACAGAGCTGGGTGGGTGGTTGTCTAAAATTGCAGGTATGCAATTGAGCACCTAATCAAAAGACCCAATTTCATATTGTTTGGATTTTGTAGTGTTGGGTTTTGCTATACAAAAATTTGTGGGTATATATATATGTGTGGCTTTGTGTGGTGGGCTGGTGGCGGTGGAACGGTGGAGGGTAAGTAATTGCTTTTTATTTTTTTAATTTTTTTTATGCATAAATTATTGATGAGGGTAGATTGGTCTAATTTATTATCAAAGGGTAATTTGGTTAATTTTGCATGTCAGGGGTGTCTTTGTCCATTTTTGAAACTTTAAGGGGTGTCTTTGTCCAAAAATTTAGAAAGTTTCACTTGTGTGTCCATTTGGCAAATCTGAGGTGGTGTTGCTGTACTTTACCCTTTAAGTTAATTATTTGATATGGTGCAATATAAGCCCTAGATGTCATTAATGTGTCACATGTTAACATATATTTAATTCAACTTATGATAATGTAAAGAGTTTTTAACTTAGAGGATCCAAGTCCGTCCGTATTTTGTTACCCTTAGCTTATGTGAAAGGAAAGCCTTTGCCATTTCTTTCCCATTGAACAATTTCTCTGACTACAATTCTCCTCCAAGATGGAGGATTGCACTTACAGTAAGATCTTTTACCCTTTTCAGCGTCAACGATTGATTTCTCCGAGTAGCTACTTTTTCAATTCTGTTCATTTGCTTTAAAGGACTCGGGACCAACAAAGACTGCCTTGCCTTCGAGTTGAGTCTCGTGACTTCTTCGGAGGTTCCTTTTGATCCTAGAGGTGGTGTTTACATAGGGTGAAGAGGTCACTTTTTGGTCTTAGAGGTGGTGTTTACTTCTAGTGGCTTTTTCTTTGATCTTGTTTTCGCGTTTTGAACTCGATATCAGGAGTTTTAGTCTTTTAATTAGTGTACCGGATCATGAGATTTTGAGCGTTACAATTCTCTTATAATTGAAAGTTCTGCTTCCCACCACCTCTTATCCTTCTTTCCCGCGGGGTGAGTGGGGTATTCACAGAGTTTTTGGTCAGGAATTTAACCACCAATTAATATATGAAGAGCAATTGTTAGTGGCAGCAACTAGAAGAATTTAGTCATTAGTTTCGCCAGAAGGTGGTCTTGTTGGTTCATTTTTTCAGTTGTTCGTCACCTCGCATTTCAAACAATCTATCATGCTCTTTCTTTTCATTGTTATGCCTCTGATATCCCAAATTTGTGTCAGTGTTACTGATGCCCAAGCTTTTACCATTGAGCCATTGTTTTGCTTCTGATATCTCAAATTTGTGTCACTGTCACCAATGCTCAAGCGTTTTCAGCAACTCTCATTGTTTCCAAAAGTATGAGATTCAGAAAAATTAAAACAGTTACAAAATTAAAAATAATTTTGTGAAAAATGAGTATCGTTTGATAACAATATGATGATTATTTTGTTTTGCTTTTTTCAAAATTGTTTCCAAAATAGACCGGCAAAACAATACTATCTCCGTCCCTAAATGGGTCGATGTTTAGAAATTGGAGTTTTTAAAAAGATAAAGGATAATGGACGGATGAGAAAATATGTTTTGATTTTTTAAAAAGGACAATTAATATAAAAAAAAGAAAAAGAAATTACTTATTAGGGACGGAGGGGGTAATTGCTAACAAGACACACGAAAAGTAGGACCATGTCCTTGTATTTAAGGAAACACAACGTTTGGTACGGTGAATTGAAAATTTAACCTTTTCCCTTTAATGCATTTGGTATTAAACGCCACATGCTAAACAATCTGTAGTGTTTAAGAAAAATCAGACTTTTAAATGTACTCTCCTTAAAGAGTACGTGTATTGTACCATTGCTTCAACCCAATATTATTTTTGCTGGAATGTCTGTAATATGAACCTAAATTTAATGGTTTTCGGAATATCGGTGATTTTTAAATTCCAATGAGATTTATTCATTGAATGTGATGAAAATAAATATAACGGACATTAAAATAGTAATTTACTCGATGTCACCTAAGTCACATAAAGCGGGAGTGGAAGCGAGAGCGAATTTGAGAGCGGGAGTGTGAGTCTGAGTGTGAGAGCGGCAAAATTATGTAATCAATAGTGAGAATTTGAGTGAGAGCGGGAGCGCGTTCGAAGCGTGAGAGCGACACCTGTTAAGAAGGATCTAGCAAAATAGTCTATTGTCTCAAATAAAAATACTAGTGAAGAAAAGGAATAAAACTAATTTTAATGGGTTTCCAGCACACTTTTATATGATATTTATATTAAAATTTTGTACTTTTATGCTAATCAAGAGAAGGACTAATAAACATTTTGAAAAAAAAAAAAAAATTTGTCCTCGTATCAATAGTTATTAATATTTAATATTAAACAAAAATTGTTAACTTAATAAAGAAGTACACAATGAGAACATGTTTTGCGGCATGGAGAGGATAAGAAAGTCAAGAGCTTCATGAAAATCGTTGTAATATTCAAGCCCTTTATAACCTGAAGCCGGACCTACTTTAGGCCCTATTTCAGATCATCAATGACAAACAAACCTAATTAGTAGACTTGAATATCATTTTTTCATTATAAAATAAACTCCAATTTTTTTAAGCTGGATCAACCTTGTTGATGAGTCGATGACATTAATGTGCTTCTGGTTTACATTAACGTTCATATCATTAGTGATACATTCATTAATTTCACTATAATAATCAGTAATTTTTTATACATATTCTGATTTACAGTAAAAATAAACCCCAATTTCCAAAAAAATGGCCCACTGGTGGGCTGAATAAACCCCAATTTCTACAAGAGCACCCAAGTCCAATAGTGAGTCAACAAGGCCTTGTGTTCTCTAAGCCCATTAGCCTCTATCGTCCTTTGGTTTTATCCTAACCACTGCTTTAACCCCATTACTGGTAATACAGTATTTGTTATATTGAGAATTGTCATGCTAGGTTTTTTATTTTAAAATGTGAGAAAGTATGGTTAGGTTACAATCCGTGGTCCTCATTGGGGAGTTGTTATTTAGAACCTCACGTGTTTTTTCATACCACAGTTTCGGAGCGTAGTTACAAGACAAATCTCATAAACCAACCACATTTTCAGAGCATAGTCTAGAGACAAAATCCCATAAACTGTTATTTATGGGTTTGAAATCAGCAGAAAAGGAATCATCTCTCACACACCCACATTGCTCTTTTGAAAACCGAATTAGTTTGCCTTTTGTCTGGGCTGTTTATCTATGTTTAGCCTAGTATTATTTTGTAAAAAATTTAGTGGGCTTGTCCACTGGCAAAAGTTTAGTGGGCCTCTCCACTATCTACTCCCAAATAATGTACATACATTACTTTAGGTAATTTACACTGACCTCCTTTAAGGTTTGGATAAATCTTACACAAGTGGGGCGTTTCAAATTTATTATTTTGACCTCCCTTAGGTTTGGGTGTATACTCAACAACCCCCTCTCCATCAAAACTTGTAAAAAAAAAAAAATCATAAAATGACTAAGTTGCCCTTACACTCAATTTATTTATTTACAATATTTTTTTAGAAGGGGGTAACACGAGAGAGAAAGTAATAAGAGAGATGAGATAGAAAATTAATTTTTTTAAAGATTTTATAATATATTTTGTATTATAAAATATATATTACATATAAAGATATAATTGACTTTTATAATCTTAAGGGAGGTCAAAGTAATAAAATTCAAACGCTCCACCCATGTAAGATTTGCCCAAACCAAGGTAAGTGTATTTTACCCTATTACTTTTTATACATTTACACAATCAATCTTAATTTCCAAATAATAATAAAATTGAAATTAATTAAGTTACAAGTTTCATGGGAATTTGTTTAAAAATAAATTTGAATTTGAATTGTAAATTATTTTTGAAGGGCATTTTAGATAAAAATGCATAATTGAACGTAAAAGCACTAAATTTTAACCTATCTACGTAGGAAAATAATTATTTATTTTTTAAAATTAATAACAAATATTAAAGCAAGTAATGCTATATCTGTGTTGTAAAATACTACTTCCTAACAACTGCATTAATTGGCTAAGTGCAACCATTGGGCCTGAAAAATGTTTAAATGTTTGACTCGGTGGACTTCACACTTGTTTCTCTCACAATTAAAATGCGTGTTGTTGAGTGGACCCTACAACCCTTTCCTCTCACAAGTGGGGGTGACGAGTACCCTTGTGTCTGAAAAATGCTTAAATGCGAAATCAATTTGGATATTAATTATCCGTGGACTTCACAGTTAAAAATGAGAATGTCTGTTATCGAGTGAACTTTACAATTTTTCTTTTTCACAGCTGGGTTGTTGAATGTCCTATAAATTTATCCTTCCTTTTCACACTTGCTGTTGAATGTCCTATGAATTTATCCTTCCTTTTCTTTTTCTTTAATTTCACAGTTATAATGTAGATTGTCGAGTGACTCGGTTTCTCACATGTCAATCGTGAAAACTTGTATAATTGGATCATGAAACAACTTGATTTGTCTGAATTAATGAGATGCATCCAGATATTTGTACTAAAACTAACAAATCATATAAAAGTAGGACACGATCGAACTGGGCCGAACAAGATGTATTATTCTGAGCAGATTTTCTTCCTATAATAGGAAAGCTATAGCATGTATGCAAGTATATATATATATATATATATATATATATATCCAGATAGGTGTCATTAAACAAGAATCAAGCTATCAGTCAACAATCACTAATGACCAATCTTGAGACTTTTGTTGCCAGTAAAAGCAACTTGTTGCCAATAGTAGATGCTGTTGTTAACCGGCAATACTAGGTTGCATGCCAAGAACTCTTTGAGCTTGTATAAAATCCCACCTAAGTAGTTTCACAACCAACTAGGAGAGAGAGACAGAGAGATTTAGAGAGAGAAAGCGCAAGGACACAGAAAATGGAACGTGGAGAAGGTTCTCATGGCTGTCACAGAAACCCAAGATCTAGCTCTTGTAATCTCCACATTAAGCAGCTTCTCATTTCTGTTCATCATCATTTTCTTTGTACTTCTGATTTATATATCTATGTGCATGTATTTATGTATAAGTTTCTAGTTTCTTTGTTTATCAGGGAATGTACCTTCCATGATAGGTAGTAGATCGAGTTATTCTTCTAATATATATGATATATCTGATATATAGTATTATTGCTCTTGATTATCTCAAGAAAATTTCCAATTGATTTGCTCATTTTCTGGTAATTAAGTTTTGACTTTTGATATATAGTGACTTTTGCGTTCCATCGATCATTTGCATGGAGGTGTATGTATAAATTAGTCTTAGCTAATGTATCTCAGGTTGAGCTGAAATTCAACTTTTCCTTTTTCCATAAACCAATGCTTTTTCTTTTTTTTTTTCTTTCTTTCTTTTTTTCTTTTTAATGAATATTTCATTCGTGTTGTATAGTTGCCCTATTAATTTGGTTTTGTTGTCAAAAAAAAAAAAAAAAAGAAAGAAAAAAGAAGAAGAAGGCTTTGTGTAATATAAATGTGATGAGTTGGTTAGTTGACCCAGTCTGAATGTAACACTAATACATAGTATTTGACATTAATATGCACAACCGACTCTAACGGCCCATTTACTATACATTTATTTTTATTTTAAATTAAAAATAAATTATCACGTTGTATACCCTGTTATCTTATATTATATATATATATATATATATATATATATATATATATGGCACCATACGTGGTATAAGTATTATTTTTGTTTTTGCATGGTTGTAAAGTTTATTTGGTTTATTAGAGTGTGATATAATTTGATTGTGTGAAAGATGTTTTTTATTTCAACCAGCTGCAGCAAAATCCAGAAACAATGACGAGAAAGCCCCTAAACGGTCTGCCCGTGAACAAGACCAGTATATGCCCATAGCTAACGTGATAAGGATCATGCGTTGCATCCTCCCACCGCATGCCAAGATCTCTGACGATGTCAAAGAAACCATTCAAGAATGTGTGTCGGAGTACATCAGTTTCATCACCAGTGAGGCCAACGTGCGGTGCCGCCACGAGCAGCGCAAGACTATCACTGCAGAAGACGTGTTATGGGCCATGGGTAGGCTGGGGTTTGACAACTACGTAGACCCTCTCACTGTCTTCCTCAACAGGTACCGGGAGGCTGAGACACAGCGCACCTCCCTTCGCGGAGAGCCTAATGTGAAGCGGACTGTGAATTTTGGTGGTGGTGGTGCTGCTGCTGCTGGTACGGTGAATTATGGAGCAGCATTTCCTCAACGTGAAAATATCGATGCTGCAACAATATTGAATGCGTACCTTAGGGATGGCTCCAGTGGAGGTGGTGGATCCAATTCCCAGGCCAACTTTGATCCATTTCATCAATTCAAATGACAATTATAAATATGTGTGTCTATTGATGAAGATTAATGGGAATAGGCCATATATATATATAAATATATCGAACTGAATTATGAATATTAAAGACATGTTACAATATTGATACTCCAAGTTTATTAGTATGTGGGAATGTTTGGCTTTACTTTGATTGTAATTGGATTTAATTTTGTCCTTTTAATTTGTTGCAATTAAGTTTTAGAGCCAGCCCACATGTTAGTAAAATTGGCGAGCTGGGCTGTTTGTGGCGGGCCCAACGTGGTTGTGGAGGGATGGCAATTCGTATTCATGGGTCGTGTTCGTATTGTATCGATATAAGGGTATTATACTAAATAGGTAAACTTAAATCCAACCCATTTAATAATCCTGTTAAGAATCATCAACCCTAACCCAACCCGTTTATTAAACAGATAAACGTGTTAATCCGTTTAATGATCTGTTTATCAAAACGAGACATTTAATATTTAATCAAATACTAAATAATAGAAAAAAATTGTCATAATTAACCCAAATATTCAAAATAAAAAAATAAAATCATAAGGCATAGATAAGGTTTATGTTGAAATGACTTAATTATCCATAATAATTAAGTTTAAACAGATAACATATTATATGGATCATATTCACAATTATAACATGTTGAGTTAAATGGGTCATAACGGGTTACACAGGTTGAATTTTTCAACCCTAACCCTACACAGTTAAGTAAACGGATTAATCATGTACCCTTTTATGATCTAAACTTATTTATGCCAAATTCAAATCCTTTTAACTCGTGTCGTGTTCGTGTCGTGTCTAATTTATCATCCTTAATGGCTTGTGACTCACCACACGACAAAACTTACAAAATTTTTATTCAAAGACTTGTCACATGTTGTGATTAGATAATGGCCGACATTATCAATTGCTTTTTTCGTCCTATATTATGAAAAAAAAATGTATTTTAAAAAATGTAACAAGACTCCTTTTGCGGGAGGAAATTCTAAGAACATCTTCAGCTGTATGTTAAAATTTTTTGTATAAATTTGATGTGACAGAGTAGATTTATACAAAAATTTTGTACTAACTATTTTTAACTCCAGCGGTTGTTTTATACCTTTTGTATAAAAAAGTATCTCCCAATAATAACCAACCACATGTTGTACCCAATGCCCTACATAACTTTTACAAACCTACTTTATTCAGTTTACTTTTTGGCGATTAAACCTCATGTCCCCATCCTCCTCAATCAGGAAAATAATAATAATTTCCCCTTATATTTCACTTTCCCATCCCGTCAATAGCAAACCTTTCACGCCATCGTCATCGTCATCGCCATCGCCATCGCCATCGCCACCGGAAACTTATAACAAATAATAAAAATAAGATTCAAGTACGTAGAAACTACGTGATTAAAATATATATCTAATATTTGACTAGTACATATTTATCTCATTAGAATAGAATGTAAAAGGATAAAAAATTAAAAAAAAACCCTAAAATCTACAATATGATTGCAGAAGATAAAGATCAAACAAAAGTGATGAATCAAATTATGTTTATTAAAAAATATATATAAATAAATAAAAAATGGTCGAGCAGTTTTTACCTTGCCGCTAGTTACAGATTCTTCTCTATTGCACTCTAGAAAGGTGGGAAACAAAGAGGCGTAAAGGAATGAGAGAGAAGAAAGAGAACTGTGAGTGGGAAAGGGGGAGGAGATAGAGAAAATATGCTTACATGGCAGTGTAAAAGTGCCGTGTAAAATACACAACCTTTTTACACATTGGTGATGTGATAGTGTATCTTAACAGATTGCTGGAGGTGAAAAAAATTTACAAATCATATGTGACAGTGTATATTTTAAACAAAAGAGTTTTTTAACATACCGCTGGAGATACTCTAAGCCATTACACATTCGCAGGATAAAAAGGGCTAGTTAATTATATATATATATATATATATATATATATATATATATATTCTTTAATTTTGGTTGATGTACTCCACACCCATTTTTACTTATCACACATTACAATTACGAAATTCTCCTTTGAAAGCTCAACAAATCACAGTTAAATCCGACAGGCTAGTGCATTGACGAAATAACTCAATTTTGAGCCGGGTTGCTCAATAAATGAACACTTAAGAATGGTAGAGATCTTCAATCACTTCATTGTATACCATCGACCAGTAGGACTCCCTAATGCTAACTGCCCAATCCCACTACCCACTCTCATACCCCACTAGAGAGAGAAATAACTAACTTAACTGCCACTCTCTCTCTCTCTCTTCATATATGAAAACTCAACACACCTCTCATTTGGTTCTTGGCTCTTCTCCTTGTTTGAGAGACTCCAATTAATAATAATGGCTTCTTTTTCAGTAACCAAAGTCTTCAATTTCGCTTTATTCTCATCCCTTTTCCTCATCTCCATTGTTGCCATCTCCGCATATGCTTACCAATTCCAAGTTGGCGGCGAAAAAGGTTGGGTTAGACCCACTGCAAACGACACTCAGACATACAACAACTGGGCTGCCAAAAACAGATTCCACATTGGAGATACAGTTTGTAAGTTCATCACTAATCAAGCTTTAATGAAATTTAAAAAATATAAAATACATTTTTGAGATGTTATCTTAGTACAAAGTTTGGTACTTTAGTTTGATTTTGTGTTTGTGTTTGATCATCACTTGTATGTTTCAGATTTCAAGTATCGGAAGGACTCGGTGGTGGTAGTGAACAAAGCTGATTATGAGAACTGTGTCATATCTAACCCTATTTCCAAATTCGAGGATGGAAACACAGTTTTTCGATTTGATCACTATGGATACTTCTATTTCATCAGTGGGCAAGTTGAGCACTGCAAATCAGGTCAGAAAATGATTATCCGCGTGATGGTGCATTCTGGAATCGAGCCACCAGAATCCGCACCATCGCCTAAAGCAGGTGGTGGAGGCGGATCAAGCCGCGGCGGCGGTGGGGATGGTTGGGATTCCGATTTCTGGGGACCGCCGGGGCTCAATTCTACCACCAAGCTGTCTGCTGCATCTTTCTTCATGACTGCTCTTGGAGGCGTCTTGGTCATTCTCTATTTGCTCATGTAGGAACTGGTCTTTTTTTGCTAGGTAGTTTATGTTTGCTTTTTCATATCCCTTTGTTTGATCATCTTTTTTTAGCAGTATTATTTTCAGAGTGATGATTGGCTGCATGACATTTTATCTCATCGTGCATCTCAACTTTCACTTCATCCTTCAGAGCCATATATCTCTGCAAAGAACAGTTTAAAAGGTCCACTAGGCAGTTAACGGAACCACCATGAAACTTGAATGCGAAACTAATTTACCAGACAATCACATAGAATGGAGATGTTCACATAAAAGTAAATTCAATTTGCGCAATGAACATTGAACAGATGTAATTTTCATATATTTCTTGTTGATTGTATTGTTACAGTCCTAATCTTCACTACAAAAAATTCAACTAAAAAACATACTGTTCTAGACTAGTTTTGCTCTTACAAGAAATCCAATAATTTGATCAGAGATCAGATTCAGCTAGATCTACCTCTTTATCCCATAAATTTGCAAAATTCGAAGCTTTTAATTCAATTTCCAACCTCAGCTTGATACAGAGAATCTGAATTCTTAACTCAGTAAATGGTTGCTTGATGAATCACTTACCACATGTTTATCATTGATCGGAGAAATATTCAGTAAGACCTACAGCTTTAGCCCAGAAATTTGCAAAATTAAAAGCTTCTAATTCATTTTCCAACCTCGGCTTCAGCAGGGTACAGAGATTCTATGAATTCTTCACTCGATAAATGGCCGTGTGATGAATCACTTACCACATGTTTATCTTCTGACTCACTTTTGCCAAGAGATGAAGGAACAGTGTGCACTTCATTTTCTTTGTTGGAACTTTCATCTCTACTGGCTTCCACACCTATCTCGCGATCTACCAATTTGGTCTTCCATTTAATACCAATGGCCTCTGCCTGATCTGCAAACAGGACTTTTGAAATGGGTGAACTGCACATCTCTTTATAGATCTCATAACTGGTAGCATGAGTGTTTCCTCCTTCCAAAAGTTTCGAGAGTGGATGCAAAACCGAGATTGGATCATTGCTTCTCTCTAGGGTTTCCTTCAACATGAGAAAATCAGAGACAAATTCTGCCTTACTGAATTGAACAAACACTGCAGTTTCATCCAAGTGGTAGACGGAAGTAACAGAGTTTAAGCCAAAGACTTTAGAGATACATTCCCTGATCTCCCCTGCTTTGAGCATGGACGGGAAACCCCATACTAGAGCAATATTTGAGAACAAAATTTTTTTTGGGTATCGATTTATAAGATCACTTGAACCCGAAGACTCTGCAACCGTACCTTTGCTCAGGTCAATTATGTCTCCCCTATTCCAGCTGAGATAAAGAAGATTGATGTACTTCTGGAGCTTCTCGTCATGGACTAAATTTGCAGAAGGTGAATGGAGTTTGAAATTGATGCCAAGATGACTGCATGCCTGAGCAAAAACACACCCTGTCATAAAAGCATCATATCCAGCCTCATGCTTTGCTCCAGAATTCCAGTTTGAGGACCTGCAAATGGGACATGGAGGATTACTCACATGGCTCATCTAAGCTTTAATAGAACAGATTAGCACGTAGCAGCAGTTAATATTTGAGCTATTGGCTGACTTTCCTGCTAGGACAACAGCTTCCACCATTTGTTTATTTATTTATTTTATTATTATTATTTATTTGTTTAGCTATTACTTTCTGTTTGTTTAACGTTGTCAAATTTATGCCCACAGAAGCTAAATATGTTCCTCCGGTAATGGTTTGTATTTATTTATTTTTTTCTAGTTAAGAATGGTTTGTCTTTATTGACTTTAACATGGAAGACAACTTTGTGTAGAAGCTCGGGCTACCAAGCTTGAGAATGCAGATTTGAGTATGAGGACAGTCACTTTGTGCAAATAGCACCAAAGTTCAGCCTGCACACAGTCCGCCCCTCCCAGCACCACCCCTTGGTGGAATCAACACTAGGTAACAAGATATGGTTGATAACTTTACATGTAAAAGAAACATAAATGCACACGACAACACACACATAAGGATGAAACAAACCTCAGATCATCCACTTGAACCTCCACTTTAACACATGGTTTAAAAGCCAAACCAGAGCTGCCAACACCAGAAGCAATTTGCGGACACAACATAGCAAAAGCTTTAGATAGTGATGTGCTCTTCTTCTTCATCATATGTTGAAGTGCGTTATTTGCATTCAAAAGTATTTTTGTATCAATGATGTAAGGGAAGTACTTGTGAACGGAGGAGACAAATTCTTCAGTAGTCAAAGGAAGAGGGCCTAAGAATTTGCTGTATATGTGCGCAATATCTGTATCACATAGACAAAGCATATAAGGAGATATGCAAATTAAAAAAACCACTTCAACAAAGTCAAGAAGGATAATCATACCCAGAAAGCAATTGTGACCAACAATCAACTTCTGTTCTGAGGAAAGGAGGTCGATAACATGACGAAATCCAACTGCAGCTTTTACCTTCATCTCTGCTTCTTTGCGAAGCCCATCCTTCACCTCTCTCTACATAAGATTAAGATTCAAGTCATGTCCTTATGAGTTACAGGTAATATCACAAAAGATGCTGACAACTCTCCTATTCACTCTTCATCTCCTCCCATCCTAATTGAGGTGCAGAAATTCTATGCCTCAACAGTTTTTTTTTTTTTTATTCTTTCTTTCCAATTACTGCTACTATCTATTATTAAATCCCTCCCCAGAAACTGCTGTAGTGGGACCAAAACTAGGTAATGTCCATTTTATATATTATTAAATCCCTTCTTCAACCAAAACAAATAAGTTTCTGTTGAATACTCCACTCCATAAAGCATTTTCAGTCCAAACTGCATACTGTTGAGGCTTCTTAGAAAGATACAATGCAAATTAAAAGATTATTCTAGGCTCAAAAAATATTATAACAAGAGTAAATAACTAAATACTTGACAGTCTTTCATATTATGGAAACAATAGGAAAACTTCAGATCCAAATGAACGCACTAGAAATATAGCCCTTCTGGAAGGTCGTACTTCCATCTTACCATAAGCAAGTCCTTGTCATTTTTGGAGTCTGTATATACAATCAATTGTCGTTCACAGGAAGTTTCACCATTCACACGGACATAAGTAAGATCTTTAAAATGTTTTTCTGTAACCTGCATATTTCCAGTTTATATACATCAGTTGCAAAACTTCAGCAAGTATAAGATCATAAAACACTTTGAAGAAAGAGAAGCTTGGTATATACAAGCAGATAAAAAATTTGTCTAGAACATAAAAACCAATCAAGTGATGAACAAAACCGAGTTAAGGACAAAATGGGAACAATAAATAAAAGTGAAAAGATCAGACTTCCTTTTGATGTAACACAAATGTCATGGATGGTGCCTGAAACCAGAGGGAAGATCATCAACCAAGGCTCCCAGTCTTGTTATGGCCAAATATGATGTTGATTAGATATTGATAGCCTTCGTATACGGATTCATATTTCTCTCCTTAGGATAACAACGTGACAAACAGCTCCTAATCTCTGGTCAACTTTATATTTAACAAGCACAAGACAGGAAATGTATTCTAACGACAGGATGAAGAAAATGTGGAGTCAATAAAAAAGTTTTAGCATTTTACGTAATAATATTCATAAGTGCAATTGGATTCTCACTAATAGAAAGAAATATAAACACTCCAGTTTGAAAAGTTTGGTTGGTTGATTAAACAACTCGACCCTAGTGCACAGACCCTTACAATTACAAACTCTCACACTTTAACAAACTGGATTTTAAACTATAACACCCCTTCTTAAATTAGCTAGCAACAAAATAGGACTATTAAACCTTATTACGATGTTTTGGGTGAATAATATGAGTCTAAAATCCAGGCAGTAAGCCCTGCAGCTTGTCATCAGATCAGGCCCAATCAAATACAAATGTCGAACACCATTGTGTTTTGAACCCAATTAGTTGAAAATTGGACAAGGCGTTGATGACTCACAAGAGCAATTGAATCATGAAAAGGCAGGTCTAGACACTGAGAAGAAGATGTGGAAAGATCAAATGAGTCTGATTGTGAGAAGGATACAATGTCAAGAATTATTTGCATAACCTAAGGTATAACTTTGAAGGTTATAGTCAATCCAGCTGTAACGTATGTCATCCTTGGCATGTTTTTGGGATAGTTGCATCCACAACCCCTTCATTAAATTTTAAAAATATCTCATGGCAATATATCTACTGGTCTCCTTGTTAGGAGTATTCAGACTGGAGAATTCATGAATTCATCACCTTCTTAATTTAGACAAGTCCTCGCGCTTATCCAACAAATAAAATTCATAAACTATTTGGCATCATGCGGCCTTTGTATATGAGGTACACCTCTTTTAGATATCAATGACATATGTCTACTATTCTAATCCTACTTTACATACAGATGTTACACGCAAAAAAGAAAAGCAAAATAATAATAATCTGGTGCAATAGGTTGCATTCCACTTTAACTGCCTTAACAATAAATATAAGATGTGAATTCTAGAATCTCCATAGCATAGATCTGTATCAGTTGTCGTGCTACGCTATTATATACTTGTGAATTCTAGAATCTCCATAGCATAGATCTGTATCAGATATTGTGCTACGCTATTATATACTTCCTAACATACAACTTATGCAAGCATGTGCGGAAAAAAAAAAACCTTCAAAATATTGTTCAAGGCCAATATAATCCACATTTCTAAGCAATTATCTCATGAATGAAGAAATGATATCAAAGTGAAATTGGAAAATAAAATAAATTACCAATTGAATCAACCTGAGCTGGTGAGAGCTGAAACCTTTTAGCGGAAGGGCTGGACGCATATTGAAGAAAATGGTTTGAGATTGCTGATTTGAGTCGTTGGAGCTACCATGAAATTTAGACCCTCCACCATTTCTAGTCCTTAACAACCCATCACGCCATTCACTTATCCTTTTCTTCATTCTCTCAGTGAAGAGTACATCTGCCATTCTAACCACTGGCATGTCTCTAACTTCTTTCAAGTTAGACCATGACTGTGATATCTCATCCCCATATGCCAAGTTTAGGCGTCTTAGTGCCTCATCCTCTTGTGCTCTGGATAAATAAGATACTCCTGAATAATGGAAATACAACATAAATATATGATTCAAAATCTAGCAATACTTGTAAGAGAGAGTGCCCCAAGCTGGGGGCAAACAAACCATTAACAATGATTACTTCAAAAATAAACTAACACAAAGATAAACGAGAATACCCTAAGTTCTAATGGTTTTAAGACATTGGCAAGATATTGGTACCTGCAATGCGTTATAGGAATTACCCACTACTCTGTCCTAAATTAAACCGGCAATTGCAACCCAAGCTTTCACATTAGAACATTTATCCCCAAAACCACGGTATAAGAACTCAAAACCTCCAAATGACCACTATTGGGGGCAGCAAAGCAGCATTGCAGCCTGAGCAAGGGAAAAATAGACAGACAAATGGCTTACCTTCGTGTATGCAGGCGTTGAAATCAAATTGGAATTTTGACAAGAATTCAATTGAGGTTGTCTGGCAGAGGAACTCATAAGATGGGCCATCAATTGGAATTTCTTGACGTGGAAATACATAAAAATTGTGCCTGTCAAGCATCATCAGAATGTAAGATTCAGTGGTGTGCTGAAAACGAATTAAACTCCTTCTTGCTTTATCACTTTCCTCACTCACATAACTTGTCGTTCCGGTTCTGTTTCATTACAAGAGTTCTCTCCAGCAACCAAAACTAATTTATATTTTTTTTTCCTTTTGAGTAGGCAACAAAAATACTTTAATCCAGCATAGGATTCAAATTTAAATATTTTTCCCCTCTTAAAAACAACACAAGAAAACAAAAATGCACAGAGGAATAGCAAATTACACAATGAGAAAAATTCAAATGCACAGAGAAGAATAAGAACTGACGGATGAGCTATGAACGATTGCTTGGAAGCGTCCCACCGGAAAGGACAGACACCCAACTGAACGACGGCGAACTTCTCGGCGGAGTCTTTGGTCTTGAGATAACGAATATCGGGTCGATCGAACTCGAGCGACTCTCTCCACGGAGCACTGGTGACTCCGGTCATCTCGAGGTCGATCGAGACGAAGTCTGCGTCACGGACATGGAGTCTGAGATCGCTGAGAGCCGATTCGAAGTTGGACTTCGTGACATTCTTGAGAGCGAATGTCGACGAAGTGGTTGTGGAAAAGCAAAGTGAACGAGGGATGGGGGTGGTATTGCTGTGAACTAGAGTTAGGGTTCCGGAGAGAGCCCTAACCATCCACTGTTTCTTCATCTCTGCAACGCATCCCTTTCCACAGTGAAAATTTTATGTTTCTGCTCGAAGGAGGAAGCTGATGATGAATGACTAGGGCACATTTGTAATCTTCGGGTGCAACACGGAAATTCGGTGCAGCTGTGTGGGACATACTGAATAAATACACGACGTCGTAACGATAAAGTTGGCCACACATGGAAATAACGTTGCGAATGTATCAAGAATATTTAGTTCAAATAGTATATATATAAAATTTATAAAAAGTTATTTTATAATTTTAATTAAAAATATTACACAAAATTATTAAAATAAATCTTCTTTTAAAAATAATTAATTAGCAACTTCTTTGAGTATATAAAAGTTTAAATATTTATAAAACCATATGTTTATCTTTTGCACTTTCATTAGTAATAAATATTTAGCGGAAGGTCTGATATAAATTTTTTAATACTATATATTTAATATTATATATTTCCTTCTTTAATTAACTTTTTTAATAAATTAAATAAATAATTTTAAAAATATTATATATTAATACACTGAAATATTAAAATTCAATAATATGTTTCCTCCTTTAATTATATTTTTTAATATTATGTATTTATTCTCTTATCGTATTTTATTTTTATTAAATTTCAATATTTCCTACTACCTATATTATTATTTTTAACTAAGAAAATATTAATTTATCTCCTCTAATTATATCTTTTAATGTTTTATATTTTTTCTCTAATTAGATATCTATTTTTTTTTTTATTGAATTTCAGTATTTTCTTTACCTATATTATTATTATTAACTAAATAAATAAGTTTTTTAATAAGCTTCTCTAATAATATTTTAGCTTGTACACATGATTTGTTTATTATTAGTACTGATTTCAATTTCAAGTAATGTTTTATTACGGAGTTTTTTTTTTTTTCCTCTCCTAAATCAATAGAGAAAGCAGAGCTACACGAGAACGATGCCGCTACCTCTTATTTGTGCCCGCTCCCCTCGAATACATGACCCAAAATACCCTTTTCTTCAATCTGTAAAAATGGCACCAAAATAGAAGGGGAAGTGTAAAAGATGTGATGTCTTCGTGTTTGAGTTCTTCAACAGCCAAAAAAATCTTTCCTTTTTCCCACAAAGTATCAAAAATTAGAGCTTTCTCTCATATGGGGTTCTCCAAAGACTTCACCAAAACATTGAGAAATGATGACAACAGCGGAGCAAGGAACGAGACACAAACATCTGGTATGCTGCTCTCTCTGTACTCTCTCCATCTATATACAAATATGTGTAGATAATTTACAACAAATACTATTTATGTCTCTCTCTCTCTCTCTCTAATTTTTTTACTACTTATGAAACAGGTTCAGAAATAAATAGTATCTATACAATTCTCACTATTGATCGTTGGGAATCACTGAACCACATGGGATATAAATTGGCTTCACTCAGACCAGTTCATGGAAGGCTGGCTTTGAAATTTCTCAACTGGTTCATCAAACAGCCTGGTTTGAATCTTTCCCACATCAGTCATATATACTCTATCACAACCCACATATTGGTTAGAGCTAGAATGTATGACTCTGCCAAGTCAATTTTGAGATGTTTATCTCAGATGGGTATCGGTTCACATTCTGTTTTTGGTGCTCTCATGGACACATACCCTCTTTGCAATTCTAACCCTGCAGTTTTTGACCTCCTAATTAGGGTTTACATACAGAAAGGATTGGTTGAAGATGCCTTAGAGACCTTCAATTTGATGGGTTTTCGAGGGTTTAAGCCATCGGCTGATACTTGTAATATGATACTTGCAGCAATGGCCAAAGATGGACGTGGTGGATCTGTATGGTCACTTTTCAAGGAAATGCTTGCGAAAAAGATTTGCCCTAATGTTTGTACATTTAATATACTTTTAAATGTTCTTTGTGTGGAAGGAAAGCTTGAAAAAGCCGGCTATCTCCTCAAAAAGATGGAAGAAACCGGTTATGTTCCGACACTAGTTACTTATAATACCTTACTCAATTGGTATTGCAAGAAGGGAAGGTATAAAGCTGCTTTTGAGCTCCTTGATCGCATGGGCTGTAAAGGTCTTGAAGCAGATGTGTGTACATATAACATGCTTGTAGATGATTTATGTAGAAATAATAGGAGTGCCAAAGGTTATTTATTGTTGAAAAAGATGAGGAAGAAGATGATTTTCCCAAATGAAGTCACCTATAATACTCTCATCAATGGGTTTGCCAAAGAGGGGAAGATTGGGGTTGCTACTCAGATTTTCAATGAGATGTCGAAGTTTAGTCTTTCACCAAACTGTATTACTTATAATACCTTGATTGATGGGCATTGCCAGGGAGGTAATTTTGTAGAAGCTTTTAAACTTTTGGATAAAATGGAAGCCGTCGGACTAAGAGCTAACAAAGTTAGTTATGGGACTATTTTGAATGGATTATGCAAGTATTGCAGGTTTGATTTAGCAAGAAGTCTTCTTGAGAGAATGAGGGCAAATGGTATAATCGTTGGTCATATTGCATATGCAACTTTGATTGATGGGTTATGCAAAAAGGGGATGCTTGGTGAAGGTATGCAATTGCTTGATGAGATGTTCAAGAATGGTGTAAATCCGGATCTTATTACATATTCAGTGCTTGTAAATGGATTCTGCAGATCAGGAAAGTTTTCTAAAGCAAAGGAGATAATATGTAAGATGTTTAAAGCTGGACTTGAACCAAACAACATAGTATATTCTACATTAATCTACAACTTCTGCAAGCAAGGAAATGTTGTTGAAGCAATGAAAGTCTATGCGGTCATGAATCGCAATGGTCAAACAATTGATCTTTTTGTTTGTAACACGTTGCTTGCTTGTCTTTGCAGAGGTGGAAGGATAAAAGAGGCCGAGGATTTCATGCATCACATGATTAGGATTGGTCTTGTCCCTAATTCCATTACTTTTGATTCTATTATTAATGGCTATGGAACCATAGGCGATGGGTTAAAAGCATTTTCTTTGTTTGATGAAATGATTGAGTCTGGTCATCTCCCTAGTCTTTACACATATGGTAGTATACTTAAAGGACTATGCAAAGGAGGAAACTTAGAGGAGGCTAATAAATTCTTGAAAGAACTCCAATCCATTCCTCATGCTGTGGATGCTGTTGTCTACAACACATTATTGGCTGCGGCATGTAGATCAGGCAACTTGCTAAAGGCAGTAGTCCTTTTGGATGAGATGGTTCAAAATGATGTGCTCCCTGATGGTTACACATACACCAGTCTTCTTGCTGGGTTATGTAAGAAAGGCAAGATGGTTGCTGCAGTTCTTCTGCTTGGAAAAATGACTGAAAGAGGTACTTTCTTTCCAAACCAGGTTTCATACACCTGCTTAATTGATGGACTTTTCAAGGCAGGCCAACCAAAGGCTGCTGCTTATTTCTATGAGGAGATGGTGAAGAAAGGTCTGTACCCGGATGTGGTTGCATTTAATGTAATTATAGATGGTTACTCAAGAATGAGACAAATGGTCAAGGCGAATGAATTCTTCTCTTTGATGAAGAAAAGAAATGTGTGCCCTAATTTGGCTACATATAATATTCTCTTACATGGGTATTCAAAAGAACAGGACTTACCGAGATGCTTTGCATTATACAATAGTATGACAAAGAAAGGTTTTCTGCCTGATAAATTAACGTGTCATTCTCTAATTCTTGGACTTTGCCAAGCAGGTATGCTGGACGTTGGGGTTAAATTTTTGAAAAAACTGATTGCGGAAGGTACTTTGGCTGATCGGTCTACTTTCAATATGCTGATTATCAAGTGTAGTGAGAGGGGTGAGATGGGGAAGGCTTTTGATCTGTTCAAAATTATGAATTTAATAGAAGTCTATCCCGATGAACAAACTTACAGCAGCATACTTAAGGGACTGAACCGAAATTTTGGTTTCCGAGAATCTCATATTATCTTGCATGAAATGTTGGGAATTGGTTTTATTCCTACAAGTAGACAATATGTTCGTCTGATAACTGGCATGTCTAGAGTGGGAGATATAAAAGGAGCGTTGAAGCTGAAAGATGAGATGGAGGCACTTGGTGTTGCCTCCCGGGATGTAGCTGAGAGTGCCATGGTTAGAGGGCTCGTGCAGCGAGGGAAGACGGAAGAAGCGATGCTGATTCTTGATTGCATGCTTCGGGCCCAACTTATTCCAACAATTGCTACTTTTACAACTCTAATGCATAAATTTTGCAGAGAATCTAATCTTGCGGAGGCTTTAAAATTGAAGGGTATAATGGAATTTAATGGTGTGAAGCTTGATGTTGTTGCTTTCAATGTTCTCATTACAGGCCTTTGTGCTGATGGTAAAATCGTGCATGCATTTGAATTATACAAGGAAATGAAACAAATGGAACTCTGTCCCAATATCACCACCTACGCTATTCTTGTTCGTGCTGTTTGTGCTGATGATGATCTTGTGAAGGGCGAAATGCTTTTGACAGATTTACATGGGAGAGGATTGATATCCCGAGATGGAAGCACACAAGATTTACATAAGGAGTTGACGGTTGCTATGGGAAGGCTAAATTTTCTAAGGCATAAAAGAAAGAAATAGGGCCAAATAAAGAGGGAAAAGAAGAAAGAGAGAGAGAAAGCTGGGCCACCTTTAGGGAACAAAAATAAAGTCTGGAGGCTGGCAGACAAGGCTGAGATCGGCTTTTCAATACTTGAAAACAAGCTGTGATGCTTAAGACTAGGTCTACACTTTAACATCTTGATTCTTTCAATTTATATTTCTCTTTGAGATATGTTTTATACTCTGAACTTAGTTGACAAATTTTTTTCTTCCAGAAGAAATTGTTTTTCATTTTCTAGTTTATGTTTGTTTCTCAGGTGGAGGAGTATTTCTGGGAGCTGCTTTGTGCAGTTTATGCATGAATAAGATTGGCATCACAAACAATGGTCTAAATCTTTGGGGAGTGGATTTGGTGTTTTCATTTTCTGAATTTGAGACTGGAAGCACAACAAAGTTATTTTTATAAACAAAGCCAGTCGACTCGTGTTGTGCAATGGCTTTGGGAGGTTGTGAGCTTTTTTAACAAGGAAGATATGCTGAGATTGCTGCAATTTGGTGCATCACAGGTAGTGTTATGTGCCATTGTAAAATTTTACAACTCGTTCATAGGGAATGACCACCCCTTGCCCCTAGCTCCCCCCAAGAATGAATAGGAATACTGAAATATGTAGAGCAAAGTAGAAGTAATTCAATAGGGTGTCATACATAGACACTCCCATTTCACATGACATTATGACTCTTAAAATACTTCTTTTTTTTTTTGCTGGCAAGCTTTGAATGTTATTTTAAGAATAACGTTCTGTTATCAAGGTTAATATGCCTTGCCATTGGTCAATTTTTCTTTTTATTATATTTGTGTATAGTTGGGAAGGATATGGTGCTCTATGAAGAAGTAATATAGGACAAGCAAATGGCTTGCTACTGGACATGTAATGCATTGCTTGGCTATTTGAGATGTTGTACGCATTTCAACATGTGTTACGACCCACCACCATATTCTACAATATTGTCCTATTTGGGCTTTTCCTCATGGTTTTACAACGCATTTGCAAGTCGTAAGGGGGAGCCCAAAGCGGACAATATTGTTGACTAGGTGCATGCAAAGTTTGTGTCTGCAATGTGGATGTGTATCTTTGTTTTGTATTATAAGATAAGGTTTCGTTGAGTTGAACTTTGTTTCCTTAGAGGGGTTCGGGTATATGACTGATTGATTAGGTTTCGAGAAAATGTTATGTTTCTCATATTTTGTTGATCATTGCCATCTTTATGCCACTAAATACCTGCAGTCTTGGTTTCTTGGTTTCTTAGGTTTCTTTGGACAGCTCGAAAGCTTTGCAAGCAATTCTTCTTGTCATCGGAGGTTTCAGATTGACAAAGCATATGGACACATTTCATGCCTTCCATCGGCTCATACCTGGTCAGTGATTATTTACTTGATTTATGAAGTGTTGAGAGTTTGTTTTGCAGTTTTCCTGTTAGCAGCAAGCACTGCAATATCATACCTGATGTTCTAATTTTCATTCCAATTCTTCCAGCTTCAATCAACTAGACCTTCCCAGGTACAGTGCTTCTAAAGAACAGTCCGAGCGCTTGCTACATGCTGTCTAAGAAGCTACTGAGGATCTGGCTTTCATGGAAATAAACCTCTTTATCAGAGAGCACTCATATTTTCAATTAACATGTCCATGTTAGTTTGATTCCTTTTTCTTTTATTCAAATTCTGAATTCTTTTTGGATGTAGCATGGAAGTTCCATTTCTAATTGGAATATACTAAGCCAATAAAATAATGGTGGTCATTTCTTTAAAACATAGTTTTGAAAATGCATATGCAATGGTCTGAAAAATGCCGAAGAGGAAGGGAACACAAATTCTGTTTATAAAAGTTAAAACGGGTAAATTGGGTCTTTCCAAGATTGCTGATTTGCAGGAGAAATTGGAAGAGAGTTGGAAAGATGTCCTGAGATCCACTTATAAGAAGCACATGTTCCCTAAATCTAATGACTCCAGATTACGTTGTTTGGTAATACATTACTTGGCAGAGTGCACAGTCCTGTGATTGGGTGGGTATGCCGATGACATGACATACACGGCTCACTCAATATCCATTCAATTGAAGAAAGTATTGGCTCAGATACCCACTCAATACTATTCTACCAATGATAAGTAACTATTTTTATTATTTTGAATGAAAATAGAAAGCATTCCATGAATAAGAGTATATTTGGGATACATCCGGGTATAGGACTCGCGTCCGCCTCCTTTAAGGAAGAGAACCCATACCCCGCCAAAGAAAAGTCATAGATTCATAGGCAATGTATTCAGTTTTCAACTGCATGTTTTTTCTTGGTCTACATAAACTAAAACTATAAACCAACGCTACCTTAATTGAAAAAAAAAATATATATATATATATATATATATATATCTCTCTCTCTCTCAAAGAACTTGCCAGAATGCTTACGGTCATCCAAAAAAAGGGCGCAATGACTTCATTGTTTACCTCACACAGTACTTTTTTATTTTTTATGGCACAGTGATGGTAAGGGTCTAATTGCAAAAAATTGTGTTCTTTTCATAATATCATTTAAATTGTGTAGTGATGGTAAGGGTCTAATTGCAAAAAATTGTGTTCTTTTCATAATATCATTTTGTGTTCTTTTCATAATATCATTTAAATTATAGAGGGAGTCGGTGTAATAATTTTTTCCGGAAGGTGAGTCGGTGTAATATTTTTTTTCGGAAGGTGAGTAGGTGTAATATTTTTAAAAAATAAAAACTGGACACGAAGAGCTTACCTTTCCGTTAAATAGCGGGAACATAACGGCGTTCCGTTATAAAAGAGAGCAACCCAAAAATTCTTTCCGTTCACATGTGGTGGGGACATTTCTACGCCCCAACTGAGAGGAGAGAGGATCATCATCGCCGTCAACATCAACGACCCTAATCTTTCTACATTTGACCCCATTCCGTTCCTTATATTCATATAATTATTCCTATATATATATATATATATATACATATACCCCTCTCTCTCTCCTCGCTCTCGCTCTCTCTCGCTGTATAGCTGCTTTAGTAATTTTCCGCCCAGAAGAATATTCATCGCGAATTCATGTCTGTATGTAATCGATTCTCTATCTAAGAACCCCATATTTTCAAATTTTTAATCTGATTATGCGGTGCTATGTGTCTTGATTTGGTTCATTTCTCCATCAATTATGAATTTTCTTCTTTCCTTTTTAGCTCTACGGTGATGACGATGTAGTATATCCGTTGATCGCGATCTCTTGAAATTTTTATCTTATGCATTGTTTGCTGATTTGGTTTTTCTACATGTAAACATTTTGACTTGATCGTTTGATTTTATTGTAAATTAGCTCAATTATGGTGCAAGGACCTCAAATTATGTGTCTTTTTTGGACAAGAAGAGTTAAGCCAACTGATTTCGCGGTTAATTGTTGACTATAATTTGATATGTGTGTGTGTAGTTGATAAGACCTAGCTATGCGCTTGGAATCGTGGTTGTGCTTTTGTAGATTTTGAAGTTGAAGCTTATGCTCTTTTTTTTCCCCTCATTGTTCTAAATTACTTGAATGATTATATAATATTCATCTAGATTTTTTTGGTTGCTCTGTTTTGTAACTTGATAGTCCATAGTCTGCTCAATTTATAAGGATTGAAATTCTAATGGATGAACAGTTTAATTCTATTGTCCTGATGTTGCCCACTGTTGGATTATAAAAATATTGTTACTTCGCATACCTATCTATGATCTGATACCGCATTACTTGAGTTTGTCACACCACGGTGGAAAATTTTCAAGCTGCTGTAACTGATATGGTATGTGGTGGGAAACCTGCCTAGTGACTAATGAAAAGAGTGCCATCCTTGTTCTTGTAATGGATATCATGTTCTATCTGTTTTAAATAACTACATATATCTCTCATAGTATATGTATTAAGTTATGCCCCAGTAGCTTCGTTTTGAGCATGTGTAGTTATGCATACCACAAATAAACTCTGGCTGCTGAAAGAGGTTTGATTATTTGGAAAAATTGATGATTGCATGGTGCTACTTAAAGGAAGCCGAAAAAAGAAAAAAAGAAAAAAAAGAAAAGAAAAGTAAAAGAACAAAGGATGATTGTATAAGCCTCAAAGTGCTAACTTTGCTTTATCAAGTTAGGATTCTAGTTTACCTTGGGAACTCTATATGTCTACTTCTTTTTCCAAGAATATAAGGTATTTTTGGTACATTTAGCTTGCATTAGGTGCAGTGGTGATGTATAATTTAAATGTATGATCATTCAGAAAAATCATTTATTTCTAAATGACAGCAGAAGCTTTATACTCGTTACATAGATTATTCAGCTACATCTCTTTTCTATTTGTGTTATCTCCTCTTTGGTTTAAAGCTACTAATGCCTCAGTCTAACTTATAGCTGCTCCTGCACTCCCTTCCATGTACATATAAATTTTATTTGTACTCTAACGGGTCGAGTGTGGGAAATTAATCGTGGAAATAGTGGATTGACAGTGGTACTGTAGTACTGCCATTTTCTTTGTTAAAACTATCTCCAATTTTTTATACAATTTTGGGGTTCTTTGTGGGGGTGAGGTGGGGGAAACTTAGTGGAGAAATATGTTACATGGTATTAATCACTGGTTAGTTGGCGTCATTTCTCAAACTAAACCATTGGTTTGGGGTATGGCGACAAGTTTCTAACAGGGATTTTTTGACCTTTTAGGCATGTTTGTGCTTCCTAGATGACTTGCATAATATTCTATGTCCTGTTCACACAAATAACATCAATCTGTATAATATTCCCATTTAAGTGTATTTGTCGAAAATATACATTGTAATATCTAATAGACTCAAGAAAAACCCTAGTCTTAGTCTCACTCCACGTGCTGATTTAAAGCTCTCACTCTTGAGCTCTGGTCATCCCAACTCATGTCTCACCATCAAATTTTGCATCATCAGTACTCTCACTCTCAAAAATCTAATGTAAATTGGTTATTATCTCTCTCTCTCTCTCTCATCTAAAAGCTTAAGTTTTTAGAGAGGGTGTAACTTTAATATTTAAATCCTTCAACGCGCCCCCTCATGTGTAGCCTTCTTTTGGTCCCAACACGTGTTTCAATTTTTAATTTTCAGGGTGACATTGAGGTTTGAACTAGAAACCTTTGGCTCGGAGACTATGTTAACCACCATCTACTCTAAAAGCTTAAGCTGTTAGAGAGGGTGTAACTTTAATGTTTAAATCGTTCAACACATTTAAAGCTTCTAAAATAAAAAACACGGCAAGATTGATGAAGAAACTCCCAATACCACACAATTAACTTTAATTCATATTCCCCAATAATAATAATAGTAATAAGTTTCAGGCCATATTCTTCTCTGACCAACGCCAAGTAAATTGTATCTTATTAATGAATTGGATTGGACATGAACTGAATTAGTTTCCAGTGAGCCTAGTTTAGAGCTTCTTTGGTTATGTTTGGACCAGAATATAGGATGATCAAACTAGTTTGTTTCGGTTGGGCATAGATGTCCACTTTCAGTGAAGACTACTACAAGTCATCTTAAATTAAATATTGAAAGTAACTATCAAAGCTACTGACCTAGAGGGCTAGAACTTAACTGGTGTTCTTAATAGTTGATACCACCTCCTCCCTACACTGGAACACTTGTTGAATCCGGTAAAATGTCCGCTTGAGTGAGGGAACTTTTCCAGCTCTGATTCTCCTCCAGCTGTTGGTAGTGGGAGATTTCGAGATTCACTCTCACTTTTCTCAACTAAAAAATGAAACCAAAACTTTTGCAATACTGAACGTAACAAAGTCAGGGTGGTTGCGTTAGTTGATTATTGGATTCCACAGAACCAAGTTTGTCTTTTATAGAGGCTGGGAAGGTAGAAGAAGACGAAATTCATTATGTTTTTCAATGCAATAAAGTTAAAGAAACATGCTTTATATATTTTAACGTATTCATTTTTAATTATTTATGTTTTTGTTTTGTTTTCTGACACCTTGCTCCATGGGAAGAAAAAAAAAATTGCTTCCATCTCTAAAAGACCATAACCTATTGTTTATCACTCCTGTGTATGGTGCTGTGAGGAAAAATTGAGACAGTAACCTTTTGCATGGTATTGTTTTGCACAAAGTTGCTGCTTGTAGACTCAAAGTTGTATGCTTGTGTTTGTCAGTCTGAGCTTTTACCATCTATAATCCTATAAAATTAAGATTCTCACTAAATTTCTTACCCACATGAACAATCTGGACCATCCTAATCATTTGATAGATATCATTTTTATTGTTTTCATTCCCTTGATATTTCTAGATCATCTAATGGATACGGTATTTCCAATTCAACTATTCTGATCATCTGATGCAAATCTCATATATTTTGATAAATTTAAATGGCAATCTATCAGATTGTTCATGTTCTTTGATTATTCAGTATTTTATTGTACAGGTAGTTACAGTTTTGTCAACGACCTTTTCTTCAATAGTCTCTTTTGTGCCATAAAATTTTTTCCCCCAGTTAATGGAGGAGAATTAGTGATTATGAATTACGACTCTTGTATACAATTTTCTTTTATCCAAGCAACCCAAAATCCCTTATCTTGGAATATTTTGTGCAAGACATGGAAAATTATAAAATTATGCATAAAAGTAGGTTTGGTGTTGTGCGTCTTTCTGCTGTTATTTCTGATGGGTAACCAATTTGTAGAACATTCCTTTGCATATGTTTCGTGTCTAGGTTTCGTTACCCTTTTGTGAATGTGAAATTCACTAAAGGGTATGCAGTATATGTTCGAGTAAGGATCCTCTCCAGCGCTAGAGAGGGTCCTGTACTTCACCAAGGGTGAAGATTGCATCATCAGATGGGACCACCTAGGATGGTCCACGGATAGGATTCAAGTCCTATATGTTCACTTTGTCAGATAATATAACACGTGTTTATTTGAAGAGATTAGATTAGAAAAATAGGAATAAGTAGAACAAAGTTAAAAATGATTATTTTGGCTGATTCTCTTTGATTCATTTTTTTGTTCTATCAGAAAAGCAGCAATTAGATGGAAATTATGGGTGGCACTTGGACACTAAAAATCAGAATAGTTGTATCAGTTTTTTGTATAGTTATTCATTTCTTCGTCTTTCTCCCTGACAGGAAAAGGGACAGCCATTACCCAAGTTTGGTGAATGGGATGTCAATGATCCTGCTTCAGCTGATGGATTTACTGTGATCTTTAATAAGGCCAGGGATGAGAAAAAGACAGGTGGCCAACCTGAGTCACCAGGAAAAATGGATCCGAATGTTAAGCATGGAGTGAATCCTGCCAAGCCAGTGGCTGTAAGTTCTCTAGTAATTCACTTTTTTACATCAACTGTTCCATAATTGAATAGATATCTGAGGCAGCCGATTGCAGTTTGTACATGCCTATTAAAAAGATTGCAATTTGCATTAGTTTGGATCTGTTATCATATCTGTGATTTCACAGTAGCACTATCTACTGAAGTCTGGTTTCATTTACATACCTCTGCCTGGAGGATCATAATCTATATTTTTTCTTGAGAAGTAAACCAGTTAGATAGTCCCAATCCATCCTTTCTACAGCAATAGTTGGCATTCAGTAATGGGAGATGACATGTTACACAGATTGGTTGTCATATCTGAATGGTCGGATTGCAGCCTGGTTGGTACCTAGGAAGGGTAAAGGCAAGGTGTTCTATGCTGTCTCCTGGACAGGTCTAGCCAGATTTGTTATATGTTTTATTGAATATAAGTGAAGATGGAAGTGGCTTTGGATGAAATCATCCTGTTTGGTGCAATTTATGTGGCTGATTCTATGAGCTGGCGTTGGATGGGGAAAATTTTAAGTTTCTCACACCCTGGTTAATTAATATTTAATAATGGTAAAATAACTTTCTCAATCACCAATGCACAAACAGTATCAGAATTTTACTGGTCATTATTTTTCCCTTGTGTTTTGCTTAGCCCCATTTTTGCAGTCTTTTGATGTAGAGCGTATTTATTTGCAGAAAAAATGGTTTTGCTGCCTGCAAAAACCAAATGCAGAGTCTTGATGAATTCCTTCCCGTGTAAAAGCTTTCAGTGGAAGAGCGTGTTCATAATTGGCCCCACCACATTTTCTAAGGGTAGGAGCTGTAAAGTGGACATGGATGCTGCTGGGATCCATGTTGTGTGTTGAACTGCGTTGTAATGATGGTAGACCTCAAACGATATTGTATCTATATATTACTGGTTTGGTGGGTTATTGTTTGAAGCTAAGCTACTTTTTTGTTCTCTTCTCTGTCCTCTCTCGTGTATGGTTTGTAGAGTTTTTGTCTTTGATACATGTGTGTGTGTGTGTGTGTGTTTTTTTTTCCTTTCTCTTTGAACCATTATGTTGCAAATAGTGGAATGGTTTTGATTTATACGTCTGCTTTTGTTGGATACAACTAATTGATCTCACTTTCTGCGATGATTCTGAATAAGCCCAACTTGATTTTACTCGGCACAAGTTTAGGTTAGGTTGATCTCTGGAGTCCTTGTGTTGGACAGGTAAAATTATAAATGAATATCAGGACAACTCAATTTTTTACCAAGCCGGGGCTTAAGCAAAGTATTTATGCAGTTGATGTAGGACGGAATTTCTGTTAGTCCGATGAGTCTATTTTTGGCTTAAAAGGAGAGGTTTTGTTTTTAGAAAAAAAGTGGAATGAACCCACTAATTAGTGGGTCATGTCGTTTTTCGGTTCTAAACTTTTGTTTAGGACTCGAAAATTGTGTCCTTTTAGTTTTATAGTAGTATATTTTGATTTCTGGTATTTGATATTTAGTACTTTTTTTAGTAATGAGGTACCTTTATTTATTTTAAATTATTATTATTTTTTTGGAGAAAAGTTGATTTTTAAATTTAGTTTGTTTTTTATATTAGGTTTACTTGTATTATAAGCTTTTCTGTTAGTTTATTTTTGATTTAGTAATGAGGTATCTTTATTTATTTTTAATTATTATTATTATTTTTGGAGAAAAGTTGATTTTTAAATTTAGTTTGTTTTTTATATTAGGTGTACTTATATTATAAGCTTTTCTGTTAGTTTCTTTGTTATTTAGAGTTTTTTTTATTTTTATTTTTATTTTTTTCATTCATATAAATATATGTAATTTTGATAACAAAATCACCTATTAGTTTATCAATAATATATCAGATTTCTGTGTCTTTGAACTTCGTGAATTTCCGTCCGCAATGCAGCTTTGGAACGAATGATGCCAATGATATATTACTGGTAAGAAACTCAGGCCTTCCTATTAGTCTCAAAATGGCGGATGGTTCGTGTTGATGAGACGCCAATGAGTAGTCATTGTGAGATTGTAAAGCTACAAAGTTTCAATTTGCATGCCAACTGAGAAAAAAGGTAGAATACCTCATTGGGTTCTTGATAATCTTCAACCATGCAGGCTGAACAATATTTTCTAATCCATTTTTTCCTTTACAAAATCACCACCACCACCACCACCACCAGCAGAAGCCCGGATCTTCAACTGTACAACACCACCTGTGCTGGTACGTCCCGATCACTTCACACACTACTGTGTGAAGTGGCTGAAGCCGAGGGCCATCCATAGCCGTACAGCACACAGGATCCCTGCTGATGAGGGATGACGAGTTGACTTCTGAGAAGCCCGAGGGCAGTGAGTCCACTCATTTTATCAGTCTGCACACCTTATGGTAGTAGTGCTGCAACGATTCATCACCCATCACAGCCCGTGGTCAAGAATGGTTACGTAGCTGATTATCATTGCAGATGCAGAACAATACAATTAAACAGCAAATTCAGGCAAAATACATACTAGTTTTGCTGAACAAACATCATCATTAGGCTCTTTTATTTAAACGTCCGAGGTGTAAAATGGTCGACTGTTTCTTCTACATATCATTTTCCAGGGAGGGATAACATAAGTCCGCAAGTAAAGGTTTCTAATAATAAATATCCCCACACCAGTGCCTAAGCTATTCTAGATAGGGGCAATAAAAAAACAATAACTCAAGGCTCTGAAATTCTACAACCCATGGTAGTGCTGAGGCTAAACTCTGGACATCCCAAGCTTCCGCTCGAACAGACGGCGTAGAAGATAAACTTGGAGAACGCTAGCTCCAATTAGGGCAGCCGATTCAAAGAGAGCTTTCTGGACTGCCGTCCGGCTCATTCCTTCATTTTCTGCATTCCAATTGTAAGACTATTACGAAAATTACAGAAATAAATGCATATGTACAACAAACTCACAAATATGCCTTAACTATATTAATCTAGCAAGCATACTAGTTAGAATCGCAAAACGCAGATGGGAAAAAAAATAATAATAAATGTTACTTGTATTTCTTCAAATAAAAGTACCTCATTGTGAAAAAAAAAAAAAAAAACAGTTTTAACACAATCATCATTTTCATTATCAGCCAAGTGCAACGATGAATACATGTAAAGATAATCAACATTATTGCTATCAAATATACCTATTGCCTGGCGTTCAGTCTGAGCCTCTAGCCAATGCTGTTCGAACTGAATATTGTATAGAGCTTCTTCTAATTTAGCTATCTGTTCTAACAAAGGTTTGAAATGCTCTGCAGGTACATAAAAATCAGAGTAAGTCCTCCAAAGGGCTACCAGAAGAAAAAATAACTACAATAAAAAAACACGACCCACCATCTTTTGCATGCTGATCATATGATGAGAAGTGACCTACATGAACATCAAAATCTACGGTTTCATCATAAGGAGACTTGTTAGTGAAGCAGAAACTGTAGAGTCCTTCCTGCTGAGCCACAAAGTCATACTTCTCACTTATCTTGTCACGTAAATCATGAATCTGAATACCAGTAGGTCCTTTCACCTGATGATAGACATACCATTGCAAGATCAGACATGTCTTTATAGTAAAGGATCAATGTATATAGAAAACAATGGGATTGGCATCATAACTCTTTTGGAGAAAAAAAATGGAGACACAGTAGATCAGGCAACCTTTACTTTTCTGCTAAAATGATCACGATAATGAAATTAAATGCACATTTCCCTATCCTTGTGAGACCCATCTTAGTTTTTACTTCACCAACAATCAAGATTCCTCACACACTCCCACTCAAGGCCTCAAATTCAATATCTACAATGTGGACTTTGCATGAGAAATTGTGGGATGCATGAAGTGCTTTACACAAGGGTCTTGTTTTTGGATCTTTGCCACCGTCTCTTAGCTTGTCTCTTTCTGCAATCAAGGTATAATTCCATTTACTTCCTGACAATGAAGGGAATGGGAGGGGAGGATACTCTTTAAGGTTGGACGTCTTCAACTGAAAAGTAGCATTCTCACAACCATATTAACTATGTGACTGGGGCATTTAATGTTATTTGTAAATTAATTTACGCAAAGTTTTTAGCAGAACCACTCGTTGTTGGAAACATGAGAATTTCCTTCATAAGATTTTCAAATGATATGGAAAATGAAATTGTGATCTGCCTTGTTCCTGTAATGTTTGCTTTCCGTTACTCCTTCATAGACCTTAATGTTCAACCACTCCTAGTTTCAAAATATGAAGCAGTGCATAGAGGATTAGAGGGAGGCAATGAACTATGGAAGTTGCTTTAAGTAGATTGCCCATAGAATTCACAGATATGAATTAGACCCAAAAAAAAAAAAAATCTTCTTTTATTTTAAATATTCCAGTAGTTAATCATGCAATAACACATCCCATCAAACACACAAATAAACACAAGCAATTAAGAGGCACCAAAATTTTACGTAGAAAAACCAAACTAGGAAACTCCACAACAAACAAAGTCACAAGCTAATCAATCTACTAGTATTGAGAAAAAGTATAACATTACCAATCAGTTAGAGATTCTACCACAAATTCACTAGCCCATTGATTTCTTTAACTTACCGCATCGCCAATGGTTACACATGCAGTTTCACCTAATTCTCAAGCAATTACCACAAATATCCAGCAACTACATACCATTAATGCAATTGCTGCGCTATGATCCGCCTTCTCTTGACATTAATTGTCAGCCAAAGTCTTGATACACAAGTATGAGGTGTTTGTGATGAACCGTTGCTTGCTGTTATCACGATCTTCAATCTTCATGAAGGGGACAATGATCCAACACACAAGTCTATCGGAACACTCAAACTCAGAATGTCTGTGCATGCAAAAATTTTGGCTCACAAAGCCAACATTGCTCAAAAAGCTCAAACTTCTAAACTAAAAGTGAAAGCTCTTTTGTGTCTTATAGTGTTTCTGTTATGCCTTTTCAGTTTTTTAAATACAAAAAAGACTTCTAAAGGTTTTTAAAATCTTCTTCCAACTAAAACCCATATCCTTTTAACTATGCAGGGTGAAAAAACCCTTTAACTAAAAAAAACCAAATTTCTTGTGTAGAGGAATTGAGAGGACATGCAAGAACATTCCATCAGCGTATGTACCCATGCAAGAACATTTCTGTATCAGTGCATCACTCTTTGCTAGCTGATACCGTTGTCTAAATTTTTTGTACCAGTGCATAACTCAGATTCAAGAGAATATGACCAAAAACATAACAGTGTGTCCTTTTCAGAAACACACTTATTTTTAGAATTTAAAAACCAACTAGGATACGCGTTCAAAAAAAGTAGTTGGAATAAAATACATAATTTTTAAGACATTATCCTTGCCATAATGTGTGCATGATCAAAATAATAACAATTATCGTGCGATCTCCTTCCGATGTTTATCAAACTCAGATCATCTTCCAAGGTGAACCCCTCAATCAACACAATATTGATCATCTTCGAAGGTAAACCTCAATCAACACTATATTGATCAACACTATTTTAATCCCTCCTCTCACTCTGTCTCTATTTCTATCTGTATTTCTCATTTATCCCTCTTGTAGCAGGTATATTGAGCAATGCTGTACAGACTAGGACTTGATATGGATAAACACAATATAAAAAATTAAAAATTAAAAATTGAAGAAAAAAAAGGAAATGGCACATCAATGACTCACATGTATACACAGACTATCACATGGATCAGATTTTGATTTGAATCAGATGCGATAACCCTAATATGAATTGAGCATTTAATTTGATAAGCAGTTAACGATCTGAATCCAATAATCTGTTAAAGCAAACTGGATATAAACTATGAATTTATGATCGATCCGATCCAATAATGACCCGATCCGGCATACCATGATATAATATACTACAGATATATTATCTAATTCTATAGTATAAAGTATGAAATACTTTTAGCATTATATTTCTTCTTCTTCCCTTTCTCTATCCCGTCTCTCTCTATTTTTCTCTAACAAAGAGTCAAAATACCTAATTTCCTTCTCTCTTCTTTGTGCATTTTTTATTTGTCTTCTCTGGCTATTTCTCTGTTTTCCAAATCACTATTTGCAAGCTCTTTTGAAATAAAATTTTTTAACAAAAAATTACATCATTAATGGATCGGTTATCGGATTGGAAATCTGCCAAATTGAATACGGATTCATTTTTAAATAATCTGCTGGGTTATTGAAACAGATAAAACCTTAAAATACCTATCGGAGTCGGATCAGATCAAACCTGATCTGGTTCAAATCCGATCCATTTACATATCTACATCCATTATTCCATACCTATGTTTACATACATACATACATACATATATATATCTAGATCTTGCTCCTCTCTTCCTATATTTTTCCTTTTAATAGGATATCCTTTCCACATTTAGAAAAATTAGCAAATGTCTCTAAAAAGTCCATTTCATGTCTAATATGTCATTACAATATGAATGAAATATTAGAAAGATAATAATTTGAACACTGAAGATATCCTTATAAAACTTAGAACACTTGCAAAAAGAAAATATATAAAAAGAAAGAACACCAAACCAAAATTAAATATCACATGCAATCTAGCTCATTTGTGAGTGAAATTTTCTTGTGTAGAGGAATTGAGAGGTTCCACCATCTATACGACAATGCACAGAAATTCAACACGTAATATGGTAAACAAAGCCTTAGAAAAATCCCAAAAGGTGAACCCAAAATTAACCTCAAACCCTAATTCTACTCCCATTGCAACTTGAATATCTGACAACTATGAAAGAGTTCACGTCTTCCTTCTAACAACAGATTCTCTCATAAACTCTTAACTAAAGGATTTTTCTTTTTTTTTTTGGTGGTCATCCAATGGCAAGAAACACTCACCCCCCAATCTTGCCCCTATGGGGACTTGAACCCTTGACCTTCCACTTTAAAATGTGAGAAAGTACCACTAGGCTACATGTCCCTTAGTCTTCTACATTAAAGTTTAGTCCACTTTTTGTACTGATAAGCAAAAAGAATTAAACCCTTAACCCTAGATATCCATTTTAAAATGCCATTCCAGATTTTTTACCACTGTGCTACAGTGGCTTTGGTTTAAGTTGAGGTCGTTCAAGATATATAAAACAAGAAGGGCCTATACACCATCCAGTCAGTCTTTTATTCTTATTTTCCATTTCGTGGAATGAAGGAGAATTTTTACAAACAACCAAAAATGAAACATAAACCTAGGCAACATTAAATCCTCTTTGAAGGGCCATAAATTGAAAAGAATTATTCTATTATTATAGAAGAATATTGCTCTTATCTGAAAGATTTTCTTCATCAAAAACCTCCCCATACAATAAGAGTATGGGTAAGTTGTATTCATCCATCCAAGATTGTTCCCTTAAAAAAACAATGTCAACCATAAAAAACAACTCCACCTAACAAAATCCAGTGTCCACCATCACAATACATTACAAAACCAAGCAGTCGAAAAGCTCATTTGATTTTCAAAGCAATCGTACCTGTACAAATCAGTAACAACACATTTTGATAACTAAAATTAACCTGTAATCAATTGTAAAGAAAATGTAGAGCTTACCACTAGATCAACCCCGTCTCGAGTATAATGCCATGTTCCCTCATTCTTAATCACAACGAACGAGACATGAACCGTATCATGTGAGTATTCTACTTTATGTGAGAAGCATTCTTCCCTGTCAACCACAAATCTAATCCCAAACACCACTTGCAGGCTCGATAAAAACCCCAGCGTTACGACAACAGCCAACACCGGGGAAGAAATTTTCATCTGAAGTACAATTCAATTCCATTAAACATTTGGTCAGATTGCAATTTCTCATATTTTCAATATGAAAAAAAACAAAATAAAGAACCTAACCAAAAAATATAGAGAGAGAGCCTCTTCATCAAAAAAATTACAGAACTAAAGGCCCTGTTTGTTTCCACAGAAAATCCATCAGATGAACTTCAGATATAAGGAGAAAAAAATTAAAAAATTCCAAAAGTTAATTGAAGAGAAACACATAAAAGTCATTCCTTTTCTCGGGAAAATTAATCTCTTAGGAAAGAAAAACGTAGCCCTAGAAAATATTATACGCTAAGAAAAATGGTGAATCAAAAACAGGAACTTGAAATAAAATTTTTAGGGATGGTAATGAAACGAATTCACGAGAAAATTCAGTGATTTGTAATCAAAGGGAAATGTAATTTACCTTTTGTTTTTGAAGAATTTGACAGAATTGAGTTCGATGTAGCTTAGATTTATTATCGTACAACACAGAAATGTTTCCAAGGTTTTTAGTCGTACGCGACCAATTTAGATTTGTGTTTGGATACTTGTGTTATAGTGTACAGTTTTATAAGTGACTTATTCTCTACAACTTTAAAGTACGAGAGAATATTGCCATGTCCAATAGGTTTTTACACGTGCCATGATCATACGTGAATGGCTTTTCCTTAATTCTACCACTCCGTTTTCAACCGTTGGATGAGGGCCCTGTGTGAGCCCACACAATATAGCATCATTCGAAGGCTGAGATTAGCAATTGCTCAGCCTCAACTATCAATTGTTAAATACTGTATTTCGTATGGTTCCAGACTGGAGAGGGATGGAAAAATGAATGCAATGGAGGGACGGGACAGATGTGACTCTCCATCCTAATATATATTTTTTTTATCGGAAAAAATTTTTTAGAAAAAAAAAAGAAGAAAAAAATAGAGTGAGAGCTTTTATATTCTGTTTACCTATGCACTCTCATTACAATACCTCCACATTCCATATTAATAGTCCATTATCTCACTTTTTACGGTCCAATTTTAGTTGTCACATTTTAAAAATCAATACACTACTTTTTATTACACACCAATTTATTTCTAAAAGATTAAACTAATTAAAATTTTAAAATAAGTGAATCCCTTAAAAATAACTTTTTCATACTACTAATAATAAACTTGTCATTATGCATCTTTTTATACACTACTTTTCAGGGTAAAAGGCAAATTTGAAAATGTACCTTTTGCCCATTTAATGATAATATTTTTTAAAAATATTAATAATAAATAAAATAAAATAAAATAAAATGTGTGGGAGTTTTTATATTCTGTTTACTCATGCACTCTCATTATATCAAATAATAATATAAAAAAAAAGGTTGGTGATATATGCCCTTCACAAATATATTACAGTGCTCCACTCAATTCTTTTATTAAGTTAAAACGACAAAATCGAACCTAGTCAATCTTTCTTAAAAACTCATTTTATTTTGTAGGAGAAAATGATATAATTAACCAACGAAAAAAAAACCCGACAAAAAAGTAGCCCTAGAAAATATTATACGCTAAGAAAAATGGTGAATCAAAAACAAGAACTTGAAATAAAATTTTAGGGATTGTAATGAAACGAATTCACGAGAAAATTCAGTGCTTATTAATCAAAGGGAAATGGAATTTACCTTTTGTTTTTGAAGTGAAGAATTTGACAAAAATTGAGTTCGATGTAACTTAGATTTATTGTACAACACGGACTGTTTCTTAGGTTTTTAGTCGCGACCAATTTCGGATTTGTGTTTGGGTACTTGTGTTATATACAGTTTTATAAGAGCATTTCCAATGAGGCTGTCATATGGGCTGCCAATTCAAAATATAGCAGGTAGGCTAAAAAATGGACTTTCCAATGCAATGCTACTTTTTAACTATGCTATTTCTTATGTCAATTGTACCAAAAGAAATAGCAATTGCTATATGGGTTGGGCTTATAGAAAAGAAGGGACCGGCTCCTAAAAGTGACAGAACCGAAAGTAAATGCATTACTTGAGTGCCAATCCTAAAGTATATGCTTCCCTGTAGAGTATAAAATTAATGCCAAAAATGAATTATTGCAAACTTTATTTTGTTGAAATAAAAAAAGGAATTTTTTTTTTTTATTTTTTTTTTTGAATATGGAATGAAACTAGTAATTACTACTGATAACTTTTCTTTTGTTGTTAATTGTAAACTATTGATAATATTTTTGTTGTTGAATTAATAAGCCCAATTTATTATAGATAATAAAATATAAGACAACTTTGGTGCTCCAAATAGTCCAATCAATTCAAAAAGTCAAAAAAAACAATAATAAATTTATAAGCTCAATTTATCTTTCAATTTATTGAAAACTGAAAGATATGAGTTTTGAACTTCTGATCCTTGTTGATTTTGTAGTTTCCAGTTGCAGATAGAGAGAGAGAGAGAGAGAGAGAAAGTGGTCAATTTCAGAGTTGAGAACGAGAATAGAGATGGAGGCTATTGGGGAGGCTGAAATGATTTGCCCTAAATATATATATATTTTTAATAATAATATAATCAAATATATATAATATACATATATATATATATATAATATATATAAAAATTTCCGAAAAAGGAAAAAAAATTATATAATAATATAATCAAATATATAAATTTATACTTATATATATATATTTTTTGGTCCTTTTTTTGATCAGATATTTTAGATTTTTATTTTATTTTAATTAAGTTTAATTTTAGTTTCCTTCTAATGTCTACAACTTGACTTGGAATATGCCTAATATTAATATTACTGATGCAAATATAAATAGTGGAAATGATAATTGAAAAAGAATGGTGGTTGTGTAAAAAAATAGCATTTTGCATGAAATGCACCATTGAAGCAGAATTATTAAAATATAGCATTTCGAGACTGTAACACCTGTCAAAATATAGATTTAGCATGCGAAAATAGCTTTTATGAATGAAGATGGCCTAAAGTAACAATTCCTCTATCTCTTTTGCCTTTAAGCAGCCATTTCTGTTCCTAATTACACGACATGAAGAATTATTGCTAAATATGTTTGGCGGAAAATTTGTTTTCTTCCTTGTGTAGAAATGCAGGGTGGTTAGAGTCCACGAAGAACTCAATAGATTAACAGTATTCTTGGAAAAAAGAACTTGAGAATTGAAGCATGAATTGAAATGACAAGATTTCATTAACTGGGTATTAGATTGCTAGTTTAAACTACGACGACACTTTATTAATTCAAGTTTGCAGCACTTTATATCAAAGAAATTGTGGTAAAATTTCAAAACAAATATGGTGCAAATTTGAAATAAAGTTGGTGCAAATTTAAACAAAAAACTGACACAAGTTTAAATTAGTACGTGTCCATGTATTTCTCTTCCTTACCAAACAAGCTCCGCGTATATAGGTCATTTTGTCACGGACAATACTTGCCTATTCACCGGTAAGTAGAGAGTCTCTACTGACTCAATAGGTGGCATAATAAAATTATGACAAGTCTTTTAAATTTTATAAAATATAAAATATAACAAAAATAGAACTAGTACGTATTTAATTCATTTTAACCTGGTTAATCGCATCTTTCTCTCCATATATATCTATACACACTTGTACATACATATGTACAAAATTAACTTTTAAAGTGGAGAAAAATTAGGATTCAAGCTTCCTAAAATAATACATTCCAAAAACAAGATCTTCATAAAACAATATATTGTTTTTGTTCTTCAAAGGTAAAAATTTGGATTTCACCATAGCTGTACAAATATAAATACATATACATACATATATGTATAAACAAACAAAAACATGTTATTAAAATGCCCATTCACTTCCACTTCCAAAATAATCCTCATTCTCACTGCAACAATTCTAAGTTGGACGAGAGAAGGGCAATAATTTTTTTTTTTTAAAACACCGGAAGCATTTTATGATTCTAACAATGATTCTTCGTATCAATCACATACTTTCCACTTTGAAAACGTAGAGAGCAAAACTAACCCCTCAAAACACTATTACTATATCTCAATTCAATTATTTTTTTATACTGTCCATACACATATTTTGATATTTATAGGGATAGTGCTCAAGGATGTATACATGTATTAGAGAAAAATTATAAAAGATACTGTGAATCCAATTAAAAATGGATCAAACCAGTTCTAATTTTATTATTATTATATTTATATTTTATAAATTTTAGGACACTTGTTGTAATTTTATTATGTCACCTATCTAGTCAGTAAAATTTTTCTACTCACCGATAAGTCGGAGAGTATCGTACTTTTGTCACCACCAACACTTAACTAGTAGCAGCAGCCCATCACAAATATAAAAAATTAATTCTATTTTTAATCAAATTAACATAACGCCTGGTGACAGACGACGGAGGCAATTAATTGAATTCCATATGAGGTGATTGTGTTGTTGCGAGCCAAGCGACAACCCATCACACACTCTCCCCCTTTGTACACGAAGAAAAGAAATGAAATGAAATGAAAACGATGCAGATGATGATCTCAACAGCGTCCTGCGTTATGCCTTCCTTCCCTTGTTCTAGGGTTTGTTTCTCTCTTTGTGTACCACCTCTCTGTCTCTCTCTATTACTCATAAAAGTGTGTTCATTCATTCTCGTACCTGCAAAATTGTTAATTCATCTGCCCTTTTGATTTTTCTCAAAATTTATTTACAATTGTTCAAACTATCTTTCCCCCAAGTGTTGGAAAATTTTAAAACATTACAACTCTTAAGGGTAGTGTTGGAATTTATGTATTTCTAATTTGGGTGGGAAATCAAATGGGAATGAATGCTTGCTAAGATTTAATTCGTTGAAAAAAGTTTTTTTTTTTCACTTACCTTGTTCTGTGTAATTTTCAGTAATACACCGTGTATGTGTTGGACATCAACAAATGTTATTGTGGGAGTGATGGTGGTTGTAGTCAAGCGACTACTTGTATGGTATTGCTAGTTCCGGACTAACTATGAAATATTCAAATGTTATCTTATCCGCATCACAATGTTTTTGTTGATGTGATTTCAGTATAAGATTTTGATGTCAGCGCTCTTGTCTGTCTTACATTGAGAACCCTTTTTTTTACACTTGAATTTTGGGGTGTTATACAATTCCCTTTTTTTACACTTGAAATGTCTATGCTCTTGGTTGCGTTTGGCATGGTTTGGGTGTCTCCCGGTTCCACGGTGGACATGTCAGAGGCTTGTAGAGGGTGTTTGGTGGAGAGCCGAGTCAGAGATGATTGGAGGGGCACTCCCTTTGTTGGTGGGGATTGGATTGTGGTGCAAGAGAAATAGGAGATCCGTTGATGAAGAGGATCCTCCAATTTGGTCTCTCAAATACAATATACTGTCTACTTTTTTTTTTTGGGTTAATGAACTTTATGGGCAGCATTGCAAATCAATGGGGGATCATTTAGATTTTGTTGATAGCTTGAAAGTTTAGTGGTTTAGTGTCGCCTTGGGCACCTTTTGTTTTTTTTTGGGAGCGCTCTCCTTTTGAGTGCTTTTAATAAAATCTTACTTTTTAAAGAAAGTTTTCTTTATTATGTGATATCTAGCAAGTAGCAACAGTGGCTTTTTAATGCTCTCAAATCTGTTCTTTACCTTTATTCTTGGCATAATTCGAAACACAGGATAGTGCTTGTTGCTTTAATATTTTGGCCTAGTAGTTTGTTTACCAATGACACTTGCGATTTTGTGGTGATACCAGTTCACATCCTATACATGAATATTTGAAAATTTCTTATTTTTATTTTTATTTATTTTTTTATGTTTTAGACGAGGAGAGTGTTCTGCGTATGGCTGGGCATGAGACAACTTTGTCTTAGAAAATATCTCTTGTATGGATTTGTGGGCTTCTTTTTGATGCCATACAAAACCTTGCGTGGAATTAGTCGATCACTTAGAGTATCTCATTTATGCAGCGTAACCAATATTTCCTCCACACTGCAAATTGAATCGGTAAGACCTCCTCATCTCTTTTCTCTTAATTAATGGTTTTGCTGCTTTGCTTGCTTTATGATTCGTCGTTTTATGGTACTTATCTCAATACAGTATTTCTTTCTCTTACCATTATATTTGTGTTCTCTTGATCATTTGCTCTTCAGCTTACTTTTACTTCCACAAATGCTTTGTCGGATTAAATATTGTGACATGACCACCTAAAATGAATTTCAAATATGCAATGCTTCACTCTATGTGGTATTATGTATTTTCAGAATGCATGGCGAAATATGAACTATCTGACCCAGCTGTACCAGCAGGGAAAGACATTATCCTTATTGTACTTTTCTGAGTTAGTCTAGTTGAATGTATATGGATGCCTGTGAATGGGTGTACATCGCACGGACACGAGCGTGGTACATGTTGCGGACATTAACGTGGTACATGTTGCACATGTATACACATGTTGCAAGTCTGGTGGCTTAATGTAGGATGGGTGTGAAGAATTCTCGCATACGATTTGTATAACAAAATCAATGTAGGGCTGTTTTAAAAATGCTTCTTAAGGTTGATAATAATAAATTTTCTGCTTGAAAATTGTTAGAAATGTAAAACCAGGATTTAAGAAGGTATAAAGAAATGGTAAGGGTTGAGGCTTGCATTATGTATGAAACGAGGAAGTTTGGTGGCTGTTCTGGTTCTGAACATTACCCGTGAGTGTTAATCTGGGAATTTGGATCATTTTGTCTGCTTGGAATGAATAAATGAGGGAGGAAGGTTTCTGGGCTTGTAAAATAAGAATAAGGCTAGAGCTTTTAAATCCAAGATGTTTGTAGAATTCTAAAGGCTTGAAATTTCAGAAAATTAAAGAGAATAATAATAAGAAAAGTACGCAATATTCCTTGGGCTTTTTTAATTTATAAAAAATTCTCTTTTCTTTGAAGTTTCTCTTTTTTGAAATTGTTGTGGAATGCATCACTTTTACCTGCTTCTGTGGGCTTTGTCCTTGCATGATTGCATCCATTGCTTGGTATAAAAAGTTTCAGTTTGATGTCACTTTTCCCTTACATTGAAATGGTGGGAAGTGATAGTAGAATATATATATATTTTTTTTCTTTACTGAGAAATTGAAAATGTTGAGAAAGAAGAAATCAGTGATTGGAGAAATTGGCATCAGAGAAACTTTCTTCTTATTGATCCAAAACATGAACTATAGTTGTATCACCTGTTGTTTTTGTCTCCTTTGGTTTCAGAATGGTTTCTTTGATATTCCGACTCATGGCAATAATCTCAAATTTTCTCTTTTTAGCCTGTTCTTCTGTCATAGTATTTTCTCTTAATTCCCCCGAGTTTCTCAAGCATTTTGTCCATTTTTGAGAACTTTTTTCCATCATCAGGTGCCCTGTCTCAAGGACAACTATGCGTATCTTTTACATGATATGGATACTGGTACCGTGGGAGTCGTAGATCCTTCTGAAGCTGTACCCATTATTCATGCCCTGAGTAAGAAAAATCGAAATTTAACGTACATACTAAATACTCATCATCATTATGATCATACTGGTGGGAATATGGAGTTAAAAGCAAGGTATGGTGCAAAGGTGCGACAGTTTGATCTTATTCTCAGTTTATATGTTATTTTTTCAATTTTAAGTGTATCTTTGAAGTTTGAGTGAGGCTCAAAGGTGCATTAACTCATAAATGCTATGATCATTAACGCATAAAAGTTAGGATCGTTTCAACTCCAAGAATGTTTATTTACTTCTTGCTTCTTAGTACCCATGTGGGGTTCATTGTTGGAAATTATCCTCTGGTTGTTGTTTACTTCATTTACAAGGTCATATTTGGACTTGACTTTAGATGGTTATATGGAGGAAGATCTCATCCCTCTGTCCACTTTGAAGAAAGTGCCCTTTTTCCCCCCTCCAAGAATATGATAGTTTCTAAATTTCTTCCAAACAACAGAATATTGTCCATTGGATTCTTGATGCAGGAGCATCGAACAAATCTCTCAAAGACAACTAAATTTTGATTTGAAAGATAAATATTGGAAACAAAGGGAATGATAAATTTAGGTAAATTAGTTTAAATTGGCCAAGATTCACATGTCAATTGGGTGTGATTTGATCAAGTATAAAGCTGGACTAGTGGCCTTTGTTTCCTATTGTTATTATTTATCATATTGTTACATGCAAGGGAAACATAAGCACAATGTGGTACTGCTTAGTTTTTCTGATGGACTAAAAAATTTATCATAATTGAAATTTTTAATCTTAATTTTGAATGGACTAAATACAATGGCTGACTACCAAAGCTGGCTTTTCTTTTCTATGTTATTTGTAGGTAATTGGCTCGGGAATAGACAGGGATAGAATTCCTGGCATTGATATAGTTTTGAATGATGGGGACAAGTGGATGTTTGCTGGCCACGAGGTGCTTGTAATTGAAACTCCTGGTCATACCCGAGGTTGTATTTCAGTACTCAGCCAGTAGAGAATTATCTCATGTTTTTCTAGAGTTCAATAGATGAAGATAATTCATTTATTTCTAAAACCAAGTTCTGCAATTGTGATATCACTTTACCTTCTTCCTTGTGACTGAGCATTTTTAGATTTTAGTTTGTTAGAATGTTTGGCATGAACGTTTGGTTTATTTTCTTTTTGCATAGAATTCTCTCGTTCTTTAAATTCATCATTGTCGTCATCCTTGCACATATCTCGTACGATGTAGGAGTTTTCATCTTTTTTTTTTTTTAACATGTCCATGTATGACATTTCCCCTGGCATTCTGATGGTTATGGTTGTAATAGATTGGCTGTTTTAATTTTGTTATCCCTCGCTCACCTATCAGTTACTTGTGGTCTTCTTTGCATTTCTTGTATTATGAATCAGCTCTAGCTTTATGGGGGAGTTTTTTCCCTTCAAAAAGGTTGAAATGACTAATGTTACAATTTAAGATACATGTAAAGGGAAGGAGTTAATGTAATCGTGACGATTACAAAGTAATTTCAAAACTAGTACTGTTTTGAACTTCACATTTGTGAATATTTTAATACTTAAGAGTGAGGTTATACTTGAATATAATAAGAGAAAGGTTGAAATGTCTTACAAATTACAAAGTAATTAAAACTAGTTTTGTTTTGGACTTCACAGTTCTGAATATTTTAAGACTTAATTGTGAGTTTACGCTTGAATATAATAAGAGAAGCTGCTTTGGCAAAGTACTAGCACCCTGCGTAGGCTGGACATATACTGGATTATGCATTTATTTGATATGTTTTATTTCTAGTTTCATCATTTCAAGGAAATTGACACTCTTTTTTCATTCATATTGATCTTAATTGCGAGCAGGTCACATTAGCTTCTACTCTCCAGGATCAAGGGCAATTTTTACTGGGGACACTTTGTTCAGCTTATCATGTGGCAAGCTTTTTGAAGGAACACCTGAGCAGGTAGATTTTTTTTTTTTCATTTGCAAGAATCACACTCACACTCACTTTTTGGCCCTACGGGCACTTGAACTCTTGACCTTCTCTTTTAGAAGGTGAGGAAGTACCACTAGGGCTACAAGGACCTTGGTGATTAGGTAGATTTTTTTCTTCAGTTATGATACTGGTCATGTCCCTGTTATGAGCTTAGGAAAACTTATCTTATTATTATTATTATTTTTTGTGTTTGTGTTGACTTCCATCTTGTTAATTATTTATCCCTCTGGTCATTATATATATCAACCTCTCTGTGTATTTTCTTGTGTGCTTAGACGAGTGGAAGGAGCAGTGTCAAAAGAGTGATAATTCATTCAGAGTTAGTAGTCAAAGTGTTTCTTTTATGTAAGATTAAAAGGTTGCTGAGTGATGTGATCATGTGTGAGAAGCTGTTTGTTCAGATCTACAAAGTTTTTGAACCTAAATATTTAGGGTGAAATTATAATTCATTGATTTTGTCTTTTTCGGTTGATGAAGATACACATGACCTAGGGAACTAGCCTTGCTTCCTTTCTTATTCTATGGACACTTCTCCACCCAATATTGTTTAATCCTCCATAAATCTGCTAGTGGAGCTTTGGAGAAGTCGGCATCTGCTTTGCTAGCAGTCCAAAAAGGATAGTTTCTCAGTGCCAATACAACCTGGCTTATGGCATCAGCATTACAAAGGTACTTCTTGAATATTGAGCCTACATTTAAGTTACTCAGGATGCTTCTGCTTATCTCCGAAATCCTGCAACTTGGGAAGATTGGTTAAAGACCCACTTAGTCATATTAATTACTCATTGCCCTTGAGACTTTATGTGTCTATACTTGGCCCTCTTAGCAGCTTCCTTACCACATCTGGAGCAGTAACATTCAGTCGAGGGTTACTCTTGGTGTCCTGAAGCATGTGCATGCTGATGCTTCTCTGTATCAAACATATGTTAGACACTAGTACTGTAGTATTTCAATCCCTATGGAAGAGAGCGATGATGATTACTCTCTCCACTCTGAACTGGAATGCGGATGCAGGCAACATTCTAAACACGCTCTGAAATTATGAAATTAAATGAGAAAAGCTTTCCTAATACCCCTTATATAGAGGTAAAAGTTATTATGATAAACCTTATGTCGACACCCTCTGAAGACACTGGTGGCTCCCAATCTTCAATAAGACCTTGCCACGTCACCTAAAGATGTCTATTTTTGATACGTAAATAATGGATTAAAGAGCATTCAAAAGGGGAATGCATCCCACAAGAGCTACAAAAGTCCAAAAAGGGCCTCTAAATCCTCGAAGAACCCAAAAGATCATAAAACTCCTCTATGGATTTACAATTTCTCCCTAGAACCCAACAAAAAAGAGTTCTAATAATGGATAATTTCGAAGACCCAATAGGATTTTCCTTTCCTTCGAAAGATCTCCTATTTATCTCAAGCCAAATGCACCACCAAACGCATAACTGTGTAACCCTCCAAAAATCACAGACTTGAACCGCCATTGTACAACCTTTCCGAGCCTCAATCAAACATCTAGAAGACCTCGGCATAACCCACTGATACCCGAACAACCCCAACATCAAAATCCAACAATCCCGCGCCACTGGGCAATGCAAACGAAGGTGATCAACTATTTCCTCATCATTCGTACACATAAAGCACCCGTTAACGACAATCTGTCTCCTTCTCCTTAGGTTATCTCGAGTCCAAATCTTCCCTAAGATGAATGTCCATGCAAAAAATGCCATTTTGAGTAGAGCCTTGGAATGCCAAATAGCCTTCCACGGAAAGGGAGGGGTCGGAGCATCTGAAAGACACCTATAAAGAGATCTAACATCGAAGCGACCTTGACAAGAGAGAAGCCACATCCAAGAGTCAGAAACATCTCCCATGATCTCCTGTCGATACAAGAGCTCCAAAAAACCAATAACATCCTCAATTTCCCAGTCCTGAAAATGCCTCAAGAAACGAACATCCCAAACTATTTTCCCACTATCAAGGTGAAAGCAGTCAACCACCATAGCCTGACAATTTGAAGCAATCCAGAAGAGTCTAGGGAAAGTGAGCGCAAGAGAACGATCACCACACCAAATGTCCTCCCAAAAGTGGATTCTCCTGAATGGCGAAGTGTGGAGAGGTAAAAATTTGGGTACTAGACCCATTCACCATGTTTTCCATATCTGCAGCTCATGTGGCATTCTCCCACTTAGCTTGTGGATTGTTTCACCTCACTACATGTTGGCTCATGTGAAATGCCACATGGCATCTTTTCAACAACTTGGTATTCTCCTTTACGTATCTGACATATGCACACATCTTCTTTTGGAACATGGTCAATGTGAGACACTGTCACATTTTCGTGTAATATTTCCATCATTTTCGTTAATATTTCCATCCTTGGTGTCAACAAATGTGGTGCCTTGACTTTACACCTCAACTTGAGTGGTAAGAATGAGGTTTTCCGCAGACATACTCTCTGTGTTAGAGCTATTTCCATGACGATTATCCTTCTATCACATGTTTCTCCATAAGTTAGCGTTTGGTGGAATTTTCCAGGTGATTTATTGCACTCTCTCTACATCAGCTCACTTCCAAACTAGGCCTTCTGCAGATGCAGACACCTTTAAATATCCATAGCTGATTGAGTCCATAGTGGGTTTTGGAAGCTTCTGAAGTTCACTTTATTGCCCTGTGTGACATCAAGGTTACAGCTCGGTTCTTAGCGAATTTAGTGCTCATTAAGGTGTATATCTAGCTACACTCACAGCTAGGCTGGTCTTGGAGAGAGTGTTACCGCTTTCTCGCAGAGACGTGTTCATGATATATCGTGCTCTGCGTGTTCTACCTCATTTGATAATATTTTATACCACTAGTTATATCTTCATTTAGACACATTTCCCAGCACTTGTGCCAGCTGGTCAGATGTTCTTTGTACTCCCGCTATCATATATTAGGTGTTGGACTGCTTGCCCCATTTCAAAACTTTGGGAGGGGAAAGGGTGACCTCAAGATCTCCATCATCATGAGTCTCTCTAACAACCAACCCCTCCCTCCCCCCTCCCCCCTCCCCCCTCCCCCCCTTCTTTCTTTTTCCCTGCTCCCTAAGATTGCATTTTTTTTAGTTTAATTTACAATATGGATATTAAAATATTTTATAGTGTGAATAGTATATATTCTTTAGTATCTAATGGGATTACTATCTCAGTGAAACTAGCCATTTGTGGTTACATTTCTGAATAATGAAGTTTTGAGATTTTGAAATATTACGAAACATAAATAACAAATAAAAGGTAAATGAATGTTATTTTACAATTTGAAATATAAATAGTACTGGAGAGTATATATTTCTGATCTCAACGAGACTTTGTGGTTATGTTTCTAAATGGTGAAATCTTGAGATTTCGGATTATTGTAAAAAATAAGATATAAATGAAAGTATGTTATAATTTTTATTTTTATCTGATGCCTAAAAGGATCTTACTATTTTTTAATTTAAATTGAATTATCGGCATTGTAAAACTCCTATAGATTTGCTTCTATTTGTAAAACATACACAGTTCCCTGGGGAACTTCATATCTTTTGCAAATTTGTTGAAGACTCAGAACATTGCTATTTTCAGAGGTAGTTATTTGTCACACACTCAAACACCCTAAGACTAGTCATTCTGTTTATTTAATGACACTTGGCATTTGAGGGGAAAAAGAGAGAAGAAGTTTGTATCAGGTCTAGTTACAATTCTGAATGTTTCTGTTCCAGATGCATTCTTCCCTCGGAAAGATAATATCTTTACCAGATGACACAAATGTATACTGTGGCCACAAATATACATTGGTAAGTTAATTTTTCTTTATTGCCTTCTTGTGTTCCCTCTCAGGTTTTAAGTGTTTCTGAGGGCCCCAACTTTGCGAAAGATTTTGACAGAGTAATTCAAAGTTTGCACTGTCTATAGAACCCAACAATGAAGCGTTGCAAAGCTACGCTGCCCAAGTAGCTAATCTCCGCAGTAAGGGCTTGCCGACGGTAAATATTGACTTCCTTTTCCTGGCAACTTATTTCTAGGTCCTTGTATGGCATTAATTTTTCCTTTCAAAATTGTGATAACTGAGGGTTGCCCTTAAATATCTAATATGTTAAACTTGATAATTCTAAATATTGATAACTTTTGGGAAGATTCTATGTGATTCGATAGTGGATAATTAATAAATATATTGTGTTAGAATATTTTGGGTCATTATGTAATTACATATAGTTGGTAGGGTCATTGTATAATTAGCTGAGACCTGTACTCTATATAAGCCACTGTACTAGGGTTTGATATGAATGATATACACATTATGTATCCACTGTGTTATCTCTCTCTCTCTCTAGTCACAACATGGTATCAGAGCGGTACGAAACAATGGGAAAACTAAGATTATGGTTGTGATTGTATCTGTGGTGTTCTTCTACAAATCAGAATCGAGATCGAAGTTGATTCTGTTCTTCGCGACAGGTTTGGCCGTCGTTCTGGTTTGGCGATCGGAGGTTTGAAGCTTCTTGTTTGTCATTCTCAAATCTGAAGCCCTTCGTTTTGTAGGCCGAGGCTGCCTTGGTTGTCGCAAGTTGCAGAGGTTGCATCATCGTGAACCCTCTCTGCTTGGTTGTTAAATCGCCGATTGTGTTGGGTTGCCGTCGTCACCGCTGCAAGGGCTAGGGTGTGTACTAGCCTTGATTCTTCATTGCGAACCTTGGGTGATTGGAGTTTATGGTCGGTGGCATGGATTTGGTTCTTGCCGGTGCTGATTGTGAAGGAGAAGAGTGGTGTTTGGCTGCAGGCGTGAAGTTATTCCAACCTTGGATTACTAAAACCGGAATAGCAGAGAACTGGTTTTGATTTGACCTGTTTGCCCAGATCCGGTCTGTTTGCCCAGATCCGACCCGTTTACCCAGATCCGGCCCCACCTGCCCAGATCCGGATTCAGTTTCTTTTTCCCCAGGTTCGGTTTTCTTCTCTGTTTGTCCTTCTCCATGGCTGCTGCCGGTTCCGACCTATTTTCTTCTACTTCTTTCAATCCTCCCATGACTTCTGTCAAGCTCAATGGCAAGAAGTATATTTTATGGGCCAAGTCCGTAGCTATTTTTCTGAAAGCCAAAGGCTTTGGCTCTCATTTGGTTAAGGATAAGCCTAAAGAAAGTGATGCAGATTTCAGTTCATGGGACCAAAGGGATGCTCAGATCATTTCCTTAATGCTGAATTGTATTGAACAAGATATCAGCTCCCATCTGTTGTATTTGGATACTGCCAAGGAGATATGGAATCGCCTCCAACAGCTATATTCAGGTACTGGTAATATCACCAGAATTTATGAGGTGTGCAGACAATTCTTTGACCTCCGGCAAGGTACTCATAGTCTTGCAGAATACTTCTCCCAGTGAATGGGAATTTGTGAAGAAATGAACTTGTATCAGCCTATCACCTCTGATGTAAAGAGCATGCAACAACAACGTGAGGATTTTAATGCTGTTTGGTTTCTCATGGGGTTGTCACCTGAATATGAATCAGTTCGTGCACAGATTTTGGGTAGCCCTACACTTCCCTCTCTACCTGATATGTTCTCCAGACTCCAGCGTGCTACTTTATCTAGTGGCGCTTCTGGGAGTGCTTCAAGTGGTGTCACTGCTCCTCCTAGCAGTGAACATTCTGCATTAGTTGTGAACCAGGGTGGTTATCAGCCTTCTCGTGGCGGTGGCGGTCGGTTTACTCGTGGTCGTGGTCGTGGTCGTGGTCGTGGCAGAGGTAGAGGCAGAGACTCAAAACTTTGCACTCACTATGGTCTTACTAATCACACTGTCAATTACTGTTAGGATCTTCATGGGAAACCACCACCTTCTTCCTATGCACATCAAGTAACCTCTAATGAAGGGGATTCTTCTTTCTCTGCCAAATGATTCACAAGTGGCTGCTCCACAAGTGGTTGTTGAGCCTGTTATGGTCACCATGACAGTTTCCCGCAATGAGTATGCTCAGTTTATGTCTCAACAACGGCCTTCCACCTCATCTTCCATGGTTTCCTTTGCCCAATCAGGTAGTGCACCTGCATGTCTCTTATCCTCTCGTCAGAGTCCCTGGATTCTTGACTCTGGCGCATCCGATCACATGACCGGTAGTTCTCATCTCTTATCTGATTTTCAGTCTGTTTCTTCATCACAAAGTGTTACTCTTGTTAATGGCTCCTCCACTAAAGTTTTGGGTGTGGGAACCACCCAACTCACGTCCTCTATATCCCTTTCCTTTGTATTATTTATTCCTCAATTCCCTTTTAATTTGATGTCCATTAGTTAAATTACTAAATCTCTTAATTGCTCCATTACATTTTATCCCTCGTGTTGTATTTTTCAGGATCTCAAGACGATGAAGAAGATTGGTACGGGACATGAAGTAGGTGGCTTGTATTACTTTGATATTGGGACAACTCCCACGGCTCTTCAATCATCTTTGTCTCCTTTCCAGTGGCACTATCGTCTCGGCCACCCATCCTTATCAGTTTTGCAGCGTCAAGTCCCCAGTCTTAGTCTTAGTCGTGTTAAGTCCATGCCTTGTGAAGCATGTCAGTTTAGTAAGCATTGTCGTGTATCTTTCAAACCGAGAGCTACCAATCGTGTTGCTAGTCCTTTTTAGTTAATTCATTCAGATGTATGGGGCCCAATAATACATATTTCTCTTAATGGATTTCGTTATTTTGTGACTTTTGTGGATGATCATTCTCGTATGACTTGGTTGTTTTTAATGAAAAATCGTTCTGAGTTATTCTTTATTTTTCAAATATTTCGCAAAGAAATCAAAACTCAATTTGGATGTTCCATTAAAGTTTTACGTTCTGACAATGCCAAAGAATATTTCTCGGACTCGTTTGAGACTTATTTTCATGCTAAAGGCATCATTCATCATTCATCTTGTACTTATACTCCTCAACAAAATGGAGTAGCTGAACGTAAAAATCGTCATCTCCTCGAAGTATGTCGTGCCCTTTTATTCCATATGCATGTTCCCAAACGTTTTTGGAGTGATGCTGTTCTTACAGCCTGTCATCTTATTAATCGGATGCCTTCGTCAGTGTTAAAAGGGCAGTCTCCTCATTCTGTTCTATTTCCCGACTCCGCATCATTTAATCTTACTCCTCGGGTCTTTGGATGTGTGTGTTATGTCCATAACTTTGGGCCCGGTCTTGACAAACTCGACCCCCATGCCACTAAGTGTGTGTTTTCTTGGGTATTCTCGCACTCAGAAGGGTTATCGTTGCTGCAGTCCTCTTTTTCAGTGCTATTTCACTAATGCTGATGTCTCCTTTTCTGAGTCTCTCCCATTTTTTTCTGATTCTACTACCCCTTTCGATATTACTCTAGCGCTACCTATTCCAACTGTTTCCTCTCTGCTTCTTGCTTCCCCACCTCCTCGCTCTGTTGTTCCCTTGCAGGTTTATTCTCGACGACCTCGACCGCGACCGCCTACTTCACTCCCTCCATCTCCTTCAGAGTCTTCGGATCCGACGCCTTTACCTGATAATTTGCCCATTGCTCTCCGTAAAGGTATTCGGTCGTGTGTTACTGCACATCCCATTTCTAACTTTGTCTCCTACCATAATATTTCCTCCTCTTTATCTTGTTTTTTATCTAAAATGTCTGCTACGTTTGTTCCCAAGACTTTGCAGGATGCTCTTTCTAATTCGGATTGGCGTAACGCCCATGGTAGATGAAATGGATGCCCTACACCGTAATCGGACTTGGGATCTTGTTCCCTTACCTCCGGGCTCCAAAACGGTTGGTTGTAAGTGGGTCTATACTGTTAAATACCTTCACGATGGGTCTATTGAGCGGTTGAAGGCTCGTCTGGTGGCAAAAGGGTACACTCAGACTTATGGTATCGACTACGATGAGACCTTTTCTCCTGTTGCTAAGATTTCTTCTATTCGGGTACTTATTTCCATTGCTGCCAATTGTCACTGGCCTTTGTTTCAATTAGATGTCAAGAATGCCTTCTTGCATGGTGACTTAGTTGAAGAAGTTTCTATGGAGCAACCACCCAGGGGGAGTATCGTCACACTGTTTGTCGCCTTAAAAAGGCCCTGTATGGATTGAAACAATCTCCACGGGCTTGGTTTGGAAAATTCTCTGAGGCGGCATTAGAATTTGGTCTTAACAGATGCCAGACCGATCATTCGGTATTTCACCAGCGCACTAAAGTTGGCTTCATTTTTCTTGTGGTGTATGCAGATGATATTGTGATCACGGGTGATGATTCTGAAGGCATTGCTAAGTTGAAGTTGTTTCTGCAAAATCAATTCCATACTAAAGACTTGGGTAAACTTAGGTATTTCTTGGGTATTGAAGTTGCTAGATCCAAGAAGGGTATAAGGTTATCTTAACGCAAATATGTGTTGGACTTGTTAGAAGAAACAGGTATGTTGGGTGGTCGTCCAGTTGATGCTCCTATGGATTCAAATACAAAACTTGTGTCTGATGAGGGTGATCTATTTAATGACCCGGGCAGATTTCGTCGCCTTGTTGGGAAATTAATTTATCTCACTATCACTCGACCTGATATTTCATATGCAGTTAGTGTTGTAAGTCAGTTTATGGGAGCTCCTAGAATGCCACATTGGGTTGCTGTTCTTCGGATTATCCGATATCTCAAGCAAGCTCTAGGTTTTGGGCTACTATATAAATCAAATGGTCATCTCAGGGTGGAAGGTTTTTCAGATGCTGACTGGGCTGGTTCTCCATCAGACAGGCGATCTACTACAAGCTACTGTACATTTGTAGGAGGAAATCTTGTTACATGGAAAAGTAAAAAGCAAATGTTGGTAGCTCGATCTAGTGCTGAAGCTGAGTATAGGGCAATGGCCCATACAACTAGTGAGTTGACTTGGATACAACATTTTCTAAAAGAACTTGGGTTGACAGTTGAAACTCCTACTCCATTGTTCTGTGATAATCAAGCAGCTGTTCACATTGCATCAAATCCTGTGTTTCATGAGAGGACCAAACATATTGAAGTTGATTGTCACTTTATTCGAGGAAAAATATTAAGTGGGAGCATCTCTATTCCATTTGTGAAGTCTGAAGATCAGTTAGCTGATATGTTTACCAAAGCATTGGGTCATAATCGGTTAAGGACTATCTGTTCCAAGCTGGGATTATTTGATATATACTCTTCAGTTTGAGGGGGAGTGTTAGAATATTTTGGGTCATTATGTAATTACATATAGTTGGTAGGGTCATTGTGTAATTAGCTGAGACCTGTTCTCTATGTAAGCCACTGTACTAGGGTTTGATATGAATGATATACACATTATGTATCCACTGTGTTATCTCTCTCTCTCTCTCTCGTCACAACATATTGCTTTTAATTATATTCTTGCATGTGTCATGTTTTGCTGATAAATTTTTCAAGAAATCAAATATGTAGGTTTGCTACATAGGCTTCACCCAGCAGTAAGTGGATTTATTTGTTTTATAATATAATAATCAGACTTTAGGAATATATTGTCCAGGTAAAATTTTTGGTACATAGTGCACAAAAGTATCTTCTTCTTTTCTTAAATTATTTTTTTAATGTGTAGGATATTAAGAAGTGTTTTGCAAGAGTTTTTTTAAATTTTGCCATAGTTCATTACCATTTTTATGTGATAAAGGATATTGGTTTACTCTGTTGATGCCTCATGGCCCTCGTGTTCGATGCAAGCACTTGATAAATTATTGAATATGTAGCTTGATGCATGCATTTGATACAAAATTACTCCTAATTTTTATGTTTCATACCTTTTTTGACTTGATTTCACAGTTGTGCTGCACTTATTTATTTATTATATTTTAGCATATAGTCTCATCTCCAATACAAACGTAAACCAAATGGCTTTAACTGTCCCAAAAAGTGGGGCCATAGAGAAGTGGAGATGAGCTTTCCCAGTTTGACTCCAGGCTTCGGTTGGTTGAGATTTGGAACACAGTTGAGGTTGGACTGGGCTCATCATGTGTTTCAAGTACTTAGAACAGATCTAACTTAAAGCTGAAGCTGAACAGATATCTAGTAGATACATCCATGATATTGTAACACTAAACAGATCCATGGTGGCTTGATTTAGGCAGTGGACAAGTTTCCTTGGGGCTTAGCCTGGTGATTTTTGATTGAGCTCAGATGAATTGCCACTTGCCAGCAATCTAAGCTAAGCTGGTCAATTCATTGGAGCCTAACTAGTCTATGAATGAGAAGGGAGGGATCATATTTTTATTGATAGATAAAGTTCTTAACTTGATTTTTGTCAGTCTATTGGGTCCTGCATTGGTTCTTGCTGAACATCATATTCTTTTTAATTTTCCTTGACAACATGTGACTATTATTGTGGTGTCTTAGATTCCAACTACACTAAAGAAAGAAAAGGCATGCAATCCATTCCTTCGCACTTCAAGTATGGAGATCCGGCGGTTGTTAAATATTCCAGCCACAGCAAATGATGGAGAAGCCTTGGGTGTCATCCGCCAAGCAAAGGATAATTTTTAGGAATGACTATATTACCTATATTTGTTTGTGTATGAGACAAAATGAGTGTTTACATTTGTGAAATGTAACCTACACTGTTGGCCATTTAAAAAAATTTAATATATCGTTGGATGGCTAGTTCTTTTGTACATTTTTTTATTGGATCTTTCTTTTAGTTGTTGCATCTGTTTTTGGTTGATGAATCTATGATAGTCAGAATCTTACTACCTGTGTTCATCTGTAACTAAAGAATTTAATTTAAAGGCTGCTTGCTCTTTATTTTGGGTTTTGGGATTTAAGCTGGGTTGGGGATATTATTATTATTATTATTATTATTTATTTATTTATTATTATTATTATTATTTTTCGGTTCCTTCTCCAAGATGAAAGGGAATGTTGCATTGAGTGCTCGACATTTCTTCTTTTGCATGCACTGCTACGAAATTGTGAAGCACTACACCTAATTCTAAACAGGTGATTAATTGGTAACCATTAATTTCTCAAGGCCACCTCCTCTGTATCTAATAATATTCTTCCAACTAAGAAATCATGATCTACCGCTATCTATATATCTAACTATATGTGTATATATATTCATAGAGAAAGGGGGAAGCAAAACAAAAGTGAGAATGAACAGAAGTACTATATTTATGTTTACAGATCAAGAATGCTGAATAACAATCTAGAAACACAATTTTGGTCATACATGTCAATGGAGATCAGAGACTCTCTTATTTACAGCTTATTTCAAACACACAATTGGGGTTATTCATCATAATTGACCAAATATAATTCTACTTCATCCTGCCCTAAAAGTAAATCTTTATTCTGCAGAAAAGGGAAATCTACGTCCTGGACAAATCTTTATACACCATGTCTGCAGTTTCCAATTCCATGTCCGATTTTTCTTGCAGCGAATGCTCCTCCTACTCCTCAGTTAAATACTCTCCATCCTTGGTGTATGCAATTTCCAATTCCATGGGTTTCAGCTGCTCTTCTACTCCTTTTTCTTGCAGCAGCTCTTGGTGGGAGTGGGACATATTTGAAAATTGTTTCTGCTGCTCTTCATCATCATCGAAACATATAAGCTCCAGCCAATTTAAATATTCTTCATCTGCAGTTTCTATTTCCATGGGTTTCAGCTGCTCTTGTACTCCTTTTTCTTGCAGCAGCTCTTGGTGGGAGTGGGAGTGGGACATATTTGAAAATTGTTTCTACTGCACTTCATGATCATCAAAAAACATATACTCCATCCAATTTAAATATTCTTCATTTGCATTTTCTAATTCCATGTCAGATTTTCCTTCACAGTTATTGTTGGATTTCAGCTCAGTACTACTACTCATGTGGGACATATTTGCAAAACGTTCCTCCTGCTGCTGCTCTTCATTCTTGGTGTTTGGAGTTACCAATTCCATGTTAGGCACTACTATTTCTTCCTCACAAGTAATATTGGTGTAACTTTCGTCACTGCCTTCATTTTTGTTTCGCTTTCTTTCTTCCTTGCTTTTCTTGCTATTATCTCTTATTCGGCAAACCACCCATTTTTGGAACTGCACTCATACCTGCCCAAACACATCAGTTCAGTAAATATCTAATGGTAAAATGATTACAGTAGCAATAAATTGATCCATTGATAGAATAAAAACCAAGTATGTTCTAAACAAAGAATTAAGCAGTAAAACTTACATATATATACATATGAAGGATTTGAGTTCATGCATTAGTGATACATTCTTATGTACAAGTATATAAGTCCATTTGAATGAACTTTTCTATTCAGCATGCTCTTTGAATATGGCTTATATACATATATAAACACACATACGAACATATATGCAAAGATTAGTTTATTTATTTATTTATAGCTTAAGATTTAACTATACAATGCTCGCCATGCATTAAGAACTACATCTTTCAATTTCGAAAATTCAAAAGGTTTCCTTATTAACAATTGCAAATAGAAGTTACATCATATCTAGCTTATGTGCATTAAGAACTACATCTTTCATTTTCGAAAATTAAAAAGGTTTAACCAATTGCAATTACAATTAACATCTGTTTTATTTGTTTTAATATCTAGCTGTCTTAATTTATGCAGCTCATTACTAATGATAAATTAAAAAATATATCACTCACATAGTGCATACTGAAATTAGTAAAATAGACCCAAGAATTTCAGTTACTGGTTTTTCCAAAGCACCTCATAATGTAAGAAAGGACTGCTATATATATATATATATATATATATATAGCTACTTTCATGTCTACCTAGCTAACTTAGTTATTCAAATTGGAATATATACTCAATGAACATATATAAATATTAATTTCATGCATGATGTTATTATTGAAAATACATATGATTTATATTGATAATTGAAGTATTTAACTATAATCTCAGCGAAGAATACATGCATGCATACAAATTAATTAACTAAGTAAGAGTACTTTATATACATATATAATAGAACTCTAAATTAATGTACTTATTAATACATAGCATATAGTACGTACCGTATCTCTTGAAAGACTATACTCATGCATAATCCAATCAGTTTTCATGCATTCACGACGATTTCGATTTTTGCTCTTGTACTTGTAAAATGTTAAGGTTTTGATCTAGCCAATGACTTTCAAATTTCGGGCGTTTCGAATGTATTTGTCTCCGGTGCTGGCCTTCCAACATCCTCCAACATCAAACTTCCCTTTTTCATCTCTATCGGGCCTCTTCCCTCTATCACTAGTTACACATTTCTTCTGTCGACTTACAAAATAATATCTATTACGCTCATGCTCATCATTATCCATATTGCTATTGGACCCATGAATATCATCTAATATACATATAGACAATTAATTAAAGTCATATACAAGAATATTAATTAATCAAGGATTGAATTTAAAGAAACTAATACTCTATATATAAATAGAGAGTTAGATATGGCATTACTTAACTAGTTGATATCATGATATAGTAACTAATTGCTTACATGAAAGAAACCATGGCTCATATGCATAGATGTCCATATCAATGACTGCATTGGATGGCAATTGCTGTTCACCATTAAGCTTCCTCCTTAAGTAATCAGAAAAGAGTTCTTCATCAGTTGGTTTAAACCTATATCCAACAGCTAGTACCTAATCACGAGTGCTTCCACAACTACTAAGGTACTGATCATCATCATCAGTATTCATGGGACTAATTTGCAGCTGCAAATTCTCACTGCCTCCTACAGTTAATTTCTTGTTTATCCTTTTATTCCCATCCCGGATTCTACGCAAAACCCATTCTTGGAACTGCACTCACACACAACAATTAATTAATTAATAATGAATAAATCAAAAATTAATGTTTGGACATATATACAGAGAAGAAGAGACATATTGTAGGGTTGAAATATGTATCATATATTAATATGAAAAATTATATTAAACATACCTTATCATTTTTTAGCTTAAATTAATGCATGATCCAATCAGTTTTGATGCTTTCTTCACGTCTTTGATTGCTATTTTTGTAACTGAAATATGTTAACGACATCACTGAACCAATAGCATTGCCTAGCTTGTCTCGAATGGTTTTATTGTTGCTGACCCTCCACCATCCTCAGCAAAAATGTCCTTTGACTTCCCGCTTTGGTGTTGTACCATTCGCAGCTACGAATTTCTTCTTTCTTTCTACAAAGTAATATTTATCAAGCTCGTTCATATCATGATCTGTTACACAAACATGTGCAAGATATAAGAATATAATTGAGAAAATTAAACCACAAGAATTAATCTAGTGAAAGATAATATATATATACACACACACAGAGAGGCTAATTGCAGTGTATGCACACACAGTCACATATATATAAGATGGATATATAAATATGTGTCTACATATATCAAATAGGGTTTGGAAGACGTTAATTAAAAAGATAGCAAAGACAAAAGAAAATATAATATTTGTTATTTCTTAGTTTTCTTTTGTGTCTTGCATGTGCTGCACAAAGGAAATCAGTGGATTGTGTGTGCTCGATCCATACGTCTTGGGACGCTGGTTGAATACGTTATATATATATATATATATATATATATATATATATTCTCAGACCGTATCAAAGGATTCATTGTAGTGAAAGTTGATGGGATTCTAGACAGATAATTGGCTAGACAATGGTCCACTTACTGACCTCTTCAATGAGTGCACCATATAATCATTAGGATCATCCACCAACACAAAAGTTAGCTCATTTGTTAACTCCACCACCTGGGCATTTCCACACCAACTCACCACTGTTATCCCTGAACTACGTACTCTCAAACCTCCTCAACCAGATTCCATTGACAGAATTTTTTGGAATGCAGGTCCTACTGGTGCCTACACACTCAAGCATACCCTCTCTGCACTCTCCCCATCATCACCGGCGGCTCCATAGCCCAAGCTTATATGGGACTCAATTGCCATCCCAAGACAACGTAAACTACCCACCTTGGATAGCAAAACAATGTCGAAAGTTGAACTGAAAATTTGCCTACTCTGCTCTTCAAAACCAGAATCTCACTGTCACCTCTTCCTTGAATGCGACTTCATCAAGCCTTTATGGAGATTCATACAGGATAAATGCAGATTTTACACTGGAATCATCAATTGGCCCCAATTTGTACACTGGATCAACAATTGCCTTACAATCCGCCTCTGCAAGCTTGCTCTTAGAGCATTCCTCGTTAGGAAACTACTACTCTTAAGTCTATTTTAGGAATATTGTTTCTTTCCAATTATTATTTGTTATGTTAGGAAGTCTGCTATTTCTATTTTCCATATATATATATATATGATGCTCGTGTAATGGGATTAGGGTTATTATGAATAAAAACTTCATATTTTTGGTGGCTAATCTCCAATTCAAAGGATTATGATCAATTTAGGGTTTAGAACCCTATCATTCATCTACATTATTCATCTACATTATTTGGAGTGAAAGGAACAATTGATTATATAGGAACTCACCTTCATCGAAACAGGCAGTCCTACAGCAGAAATCGATGGAGAGAGAAAATGGAGGCGTCGTCGCCGCCGATTCCTCCACCGTCAAAACCCTCTTCCTCCGCCGATCCCCTTCTCTCTAAGGGTCGTGACGCCTCCAATTCACCAAACCACAACTCGACCGCCTCATCCCCGAAATCCTGGACTGTGCTGTCAAACCCATCACCCACTTTTCGCGTCACTGGCAGAAGCTTGCTCAAATCGAGGCAACATTGGTTTGGGCTTTGCGTTGATCTCCGCAACCTCTCCTTTAGCCGTATTTCTCGTCGTCTCTGTTAGCGGCGTTGGTCTGGGCATATGGCGGCGACGGCGTTTATTTAGGGTTTCGAGAAAACATTAAGGGGGAGGAGAGGGGAAAACGGCGTCAATTTTAGTACTATTCTACTACGTCATTTAACTTAAGGGCAAGACGGCGTCATTAAACTTAATTAAACATTCATACATATATACACACACATATATATCCAAATTAAGAAAGAGATGAGTAAGAAAAAGATGAGAGAGAGGAGACTATAATCCATATACATACAGTAAAGCAATCGGGTTCGTGGTGGTAGACATCCATGTCAATCACTGCATTGGAGGGCAGTTCTTCCCCCTTAACCTTCTTCTTTAAGTAATTACGGATGAGTTCTTGATTTGTTGGTTTAAACCTATATTCCTCTGGCAATGGCATATTACCTGAACATCAAAGAAATAAATGATAGATCTTTCTTTATGTATGTACAAATGAGTTTCTTTTATTTAAAGTGAAATTGAAGCTAATACCATATATGTATATATAGATATAGTTAACTTGAATACCAAGCTTATTACTCTTAGATTGCTAATGATCAGTTTCTTGGATGCTAAGCTAGCTAATTAATACAATATAAATACACACATGTGCTATATGCTACCTCACCGCCTTAAGCTCCAGAATTAATATGCTACCTTTTCACCGCCTCAAGCTCCAGAATTAATATGCTGTGTCTTACCAATTATCAGGTGCTTCTAATTTTTTAATAAAAGATTTGATAAAATGCACCAGCTGTTCTAATCCATACCACTAACTATAGTGATTAGTAGTGCAGAATTCATCATGGATGAGAACATTTTTTGGTTCATCAATATTTTAAGTCTCTTGTGCTAGCTTTTAACTACAAACATTAAATATTATTGTTGTTATTAGCAATAGAATGTTTTTTGGTGATCGAAGAATAGGATTTTTTTGTTAACATTCCATGAATATTTTCCAAACTAATTTAGAGAGAATTAATGTAATCCGTAAAGGGGCATTGGATGCTAGGCTGAATTTATTTTATCCTTAGCAGAGGGTGCCGGGCCAAATTTACTCCAGAAAGCTCACATCTATTGCAAAATTTCTACTTCTACTACTTTATGTGTTGCCTATTGTTTCTTCAACTTGATCTATTTGTTCTTGAAAAGAATAAGATTGAATAGAATATTTTTTGATATGATATTACACAAAGAGTAAAATATTATGTCTCGAGATGAAAAATACATGTGCAGTAAATTATAGAGTGTTTTAAGAGTTTGGTTCTGCTATCCCTTTTTTTCTATAATCATAATATGTACGATGCCACTAGGGTTTGCATATTATTGTTGGTTGGACCGTAGGTACGATGATTTACTTCACAGACGAGGTCTCTGGTTCCAGGGAAAAGAATAGAAGAAGTCTCCGTAATTATTATGACCCATCCCTTTACTAACAATAAAAGAGAACTAAATGCAATTTAAATGGAAAAGGATTTACTTCTCAATTAAATTAGGTTATATGGCAGTTTTTTAATTGAATGAAAATTTATGGATACCTATATAATTCTTTAACCATTATAAAGTGAGAAACTAATGGCATATCTTTAAAGAAGGAAATTTTGTGCTCGATGTAGCATGGACTACATGGCAAATGCAAATTCTCAACACAACAAATTTTATGGTGGTGGTTTTGGACAGGGTAAGATTGAATAGAATATTTTTTGATATGATATTACACAGAGAGTAAAATATTATGTCTCGAGATGAAAAATACATGTGCAGTAAATTATAGAGTGTTTTAAGAGTTTGGTTCTGCTATCCCTTTTTTTCTATAATCATAATATGTACGATGCCACTAGGGTTTGCATATTATTGTTGGTTGGACCGTAGGTACGATGATTTACTTCACAGACGAGGTCTCTGGTTCCAGGGAAAAGAATAGAAGAAGTCTCCGTAATTATTATGACCCATCCCTTTACTAACAATAAAAGAGAACTAAATGCAATTTAAATGGAAAAGGATTTACTTCTCAATTAAATTAGGTTATATGGCAGTTTTTTAATTGAATGAAAATTTATGGATACCTATATAATTCTTTAACCATTATAAAGTGAGAAACTAATGGCATATCTTTAAAGAAGGAAATTTTGTGCTCGATGTAGCATGGACTACATGGCAAATGCAAATTCTCAACACAACAAATTTTATGGTGGTGGTTTTGGACAGGACAAGTACCAAGGTATCGTTCGCAAAAAGTAAATGAGAAATCTCCACCTGATGGACTAAATCTCTTCCCACCTTGAAATTCTTAATAAGACCGAGATCCTCTGCCTGCTAGACCTCAGTCTATGCGTCCGCACATGCCATTTTGTAGTGAAACGTCTGTATGCCCGTCCATCTCTTGCACTTATTGTCAATGATAAGCGCCATGTAAACAAGTCTGGACTAGTGATTGTGTATTTGCTTTAAAAGAAAAAAAGAAGAGAATAATAAGTACATCAAGTCGTAAAAGTGACACGCATAAGTGACTGATTCTCTACAAACTTTAAAGTACGAGAGAATATTCCAATACGTTTTTTACACGTTCCATGATCATAGGTGAATGGCTTTTCCTTAATTCTACCAGTCCGTTTTCAACCATTGGATGAGGGCCCTGTGTGAGCCCACACAATATAGCATTATTCGAAGGAAAAGAAAAAAAAAAAAAAAAAACCTCTTTCATGTTAAACTCTTTCTTGCAACTTTTTGACTTTTCCTGTTGATTTCTTCCATATGAATGCAAACTCACCGTGTTACTCCCTTTGACCCATTATTGACGTCCATATTCAAAATTTATACATTTTAAGATAGTAATTTTTATTACATTGGTTTTTTAATTTATCTATTTTAAATGTTATTTTTTGATGAGATTCACGATTTTGACACTTTATTGTGTTTTATCTTTTAGGGATAAATTGAGAATATTAATAAAAATAGTGCATTGATTTTTGAAATGGGACAACTATTATGGGACAACCAAAAATAGAAAAATGAACTATTAATATAGGATAGAGGAAGTAATACTTTTTCAATTGTCCACTTATATAGATATGAAAGAAAATTATGAAGCGGATAATACGAAGTCTCAAGCTTCCAAAATAAATAATAATAATAAAACAGTCCAAGTCTCAAGGTTTTATGATTTTGGCACCTTGAGGGGAGGAAAAAAAAGGAAAGAAGAAAGACGTGAGAAATTATTATAAACTTGAAAGTTAATTTTAAATTATGCTGAGATTATTAAGAATTTAAGATTAATGATTAATGCCACTTTAATGATCAATGTCGAATACAATATTGTTCGTATTATTTATTTGTTTTAGTTGTTGATTTTGGGTAAAGTAATGAAGGAATTTTTGGTATGTGATTGTTGCATACAAATACAAAATCCATATTTCACTGACTTCATATGACAGAGTAAAACCAAAAAATCATTCCAAAACAAAAACTCTCCAAAAAAAAAAAAAAAAAAAAAAAAAAAAAAAAAAAAAAAAAAAAAAACTATCTTTACTTAATGAAAAGAAAAAAACAAAAAACTCTTCAACAAATTATCAATTGAAAATTTAACAAAACAATAAATAGGAAAAAAAACACAAACAAATCAATAAGATAAGAATTTAGGTTCTTCAATCATGGATTTTTTTTAATATTCAAAACTTCAAATGAAATTTCTGTTTTAAATTTTGTAAAAATTAATTTTTTTTAAAATTCTTATAGAAGCATTCCAATACATTTCGGAGATATGAAAACCCAGTTTTTGAAAATGAATATATATATATACACACACACACACACACACATATGGAAATAGTTTGTTTTTCTATTTTTCTAAATACAAAAAAAAAAAAAAAAAGGAAAGGAGAAAAAGATATGGAAAAATTATGTATGAGATGAAATTTTAAAGATAATGAGGTTATAGAAAAAATTGTGTTTGAGTTGAAAATCTTTTAGAATAGTTACATTATGAAAAGTTTAAATTTTAGGATAGCCACAATAGATTTTATATGTGAGTTGATTTTTATCGCGGCGCGGGGGTGGGGGGGTTTTATAGTCATCAATAGTCATCAATTATATCACTGCACAAAATGAGTGTTTAAGAAAGTTTGACTATGATCTATTTTGTCATTTTAACTTAATAAAAAAATTGAGTGGAACGCTATAGTACATTTGTGGTGTATATTTGTAGAGTGCGCAGATACCACTAACTTTTTTTACAATTGCACGTAATTAGAACTCCTAGTCTTCCATAAAAAAAATATACAACTTTGACATGGTAAATTTGAAAATTGTCATATAAAAATTAAAATTTTATTGTCATCTTCATACAAAATAATTTATAAAATTTTATAAAAAATAAAGAATCATCCTGCTTGTACAACCAATAGAGATCAATTTCCCTTATTTATTCCTCTATTTGTATGGTATTAAGGATTCAAGAATCTTTTTGAAGGGCTTCAAAACAAGCAAAATCTAACACAAGTAAATGAAATTGAAAAGAAAAATAAAAACTGTAATTTAGAAAATCAATACTTATAAAATATTACATCCTTAAATTTGGTGGGCACTTGTTAGAGGTTACAAGTTATTGAAACTCTATTTTTCAATTGACGGAATTGACTCATCCTAGATACTCCTATGAAAAAAAAAAAAAAAATACTCTCTGTATTAACATTGAACTATATTCTATTTTGTCTGGTTATTCATTACCGAAGTAAGAAAAATATTTAATACAGATGAAAAGAGGCAAAAGGAACATAGAAGTTTAAGACGCTCTTTGCAATGTCATGGGAAAGTCCAGGCCATTGAAATATTTTTCTGATAGGGAGAGCAAGTAGAATGAGAGAAAAACCTTGAAATCAAGGAGTTTTAGAAACGTCTATTGAATAACTCTTGATATTTATAAATGCATGCAATGAAAATGTATCTTAGTAAAAAAGTGTGAATTTATAAGGTGTAATTATATAATTTTAATCGTATATGTGCTTCAACTTGCAACACCTCTATGACACTGCTCTTCATAAATTTATTTAAAATAATAATAATAATACTAATACTTTACCCAAAATCAACAACTAAAACAAATAAATAATATGAACAATATTGTATTCGACATCGATCATT